CTTGCTATTGTTTTCGCTACTAAGAAATTTCACCAGTATTTATACGGCAGACAGTTTACTTTGCGAACGGACCACAAGCCGTTAGTGAGCATTTTTGGACCAGACTCTGGCATTCCTAGTATGACAGCTAGTAGACTACAACGATGGGCTTTATTGTTATCAGCGTATGATTTTTGCATTGAGTATGTTCACACTGATAGCAATACGGCAGATGCATTATCTCGTATGATAGAAGGTTATAAAGAGTTAAACGCGTCGAATTACGAGGAAGCAGAACCAGAGCAAACCTATATGCATTTTGCTTCAGAAGCATTTTTATTGAAATACGAGGATATAAAGAACGAAACTAGGAAAGACCCAATTCTTATGCGCGTTTTAAGTTACGTTAAGGACGGATGGCCGAAGGAAATCGAAATACGGGAACTTCAACCTTATTTCAATAGACGTAACGAGTTGTATATAGAACTAGGGTGTCTGATGTGGGGTCATCGACTTGTAATACCCAGCGTTTGTCGGGAAAACATCCTGAGGGAACTGCACGACACTCACATGGGTATCGTGCGGACGAAGAGTGTCGCGCGCAGCTACGTGTGGTGGCCCGGCGTGGACGAGGCGCTGGAGGCGCGCTGCCGCGGGTGCGCCGTGTGCGCGGAGGCGGCCGCGCAGCCGCCGCACCACGCGCCCGTGCCGTGGCCCTGGCCCTCTCGCCCATGGAGTAGGTTACATGTCGATTTTTTGGGCCCAATAGGAGGCGATAAGTATTTAGTTGTGGTCGACGCTTGCTCGAAATGGATTGAGGTATGTAGGATGCAGACTACCACGGCTAAAGCGGTCATAAATCGATTACGAGAAATGTGGGCCCGTTTTGGTATACCTAGGCAGCTCGTGAGCGATAACGGACCTCCTTTTAATAGTGACGAGTTCAAATATTTTTTAGATAATAATGGAGTAGAACATATTTTTTCGGCACCTTATCACCCAGCTTCTAATGGCTTAGCAGAAAATGCGGTCAAAATATGCAAAAGAGTAATAAAAAAGGCAATTACACAACGCATAGATGTGGATGTTGCTTTGCAGCGTTATCTGTTAATATATCGCACTACGGAACACAGCACAACAAAAGAAAGTTCAGCTCAAATATTGCAAGGTCGGTCGTTACGAACCAGGCTAGACCGGCTCAAGCCGCCGCGGGAGGAGCGCGTGCACGCGGCGCAGCGGCGGGAGCAGCGGGCCGCGGGCGGCGGCTGGCGATCCTTCCAAAGCGGGGATTCGGTTTGGGCACGCGTTTATAACGGACAGCGAAAATGGTTAGGTGGTAATGTTATTGAAGTATTAGGTAACACAGATTATAATATTCAGTTAGAAGATGGCACAGTGGTACATAGACACGTAGACCAACTTAGGCTAAAATCTAAATTAGTTCAAATAGAACCTACTGAAACGAACTCTTCGATCAGCACAAATGCGGCTCCTGAGAGGACTATGGACGGATCAGGTTTGTCGCCGGTGCCGGTGGCGTGTCTTGGTCCGGGGGCGGGGTGGTCGGTGATGTGTCGGCGGGCGAGGAAAGGAATGATTACAACTGTCTACAGTATTTTTGCGCACGGGTTATGCATAGCTTATTTTTATTGCTTTAATACCTAGAAATAAGAATAACAACAAAACATTGTTCTGAATTTGCTTTTATGTGTAAAAAATAGAAAAATGCATATCAATGAATGTATGAAACATGGACATAGAGATGATTCAATTTGTTGCCAAATATTTTTCTTTCTTTCTTTCTTATTATTAAAACATACTAAACAATCATTTAAGATTAATTCTCACAAGAGAAGTTTTAAAATAGAGTCCAAATATTTATTAAAAATGAAAAGTTCTACTTCCCTATCATGTTCCATAGAAGATTTTTCTTATAAAAACCTAACCCTATCATGCTTTCAGGATACTGGCCTTGGTAACGTCGTCTCTCAAATCCCACTATATTTTCACGGAAGCGTGCCCCCTGTTCTTGCGAATAAGCCCCCATAATCTATATATATCTATATATATAAAAATGAAACCCGTTTCGCGTTGTCACGGCATCACGTGTGAACGGCTGAACCGATTTCGACAATTCTTTTTTTTAAATGTTTGTGGAAGTCCAAGGATGGTTCTTACGGAAAAAAATATTAAGAAAATCTCTACGCTAAGGCGGTACGAAGTTCGCCGGGTCAGCTAGTTATCTATAAATGTATCCCAATAAGAATGTGACGTGCATCTTTAGAGACATTCTACTATGAAGATGGAAAATTCAAATCGCTATAATAGGTTATATAATCAGAATATAATAAGTAAAATCCATGAACAAAAAAAAAATTTTTTTTTGTTGACCGGTGTTATTCCACGTCCCGTGTTATTGGCGAATGTGAAGGGTCAGGGGACAGTCTGTCTCAGGATAAGCAGGACATAGACCTAGCTTCTAACCCTGAAACCCACCCGATCGCTCGCTAGTGAGCGCCGTTACCCGTTACGTACGCGAAAACCCCCAGAAAGATATGGATATCCATAACTTGTACCTTTTTATTTGTTACGTTTACTTTTTATAGATAACTAAGTATTAAATAGTATTACTATGATTATGGTAGGATTGTCTAAATAAGCATTTTACATGTAAACATATTTATAATACCTACTTGTAATAATGATAAATAATATCACATGTATAGCATTATATTCGGTTTCCTGATTGTTCCATACTGTTCAGTGTCTTAACTTTTTGCATTGCATTGCATAATTTAGTACAATTGCATTAATTGAAATAATCTCTTTGGTATAAAGATAGTATTGGAACAGCGGAATACTCTTAAGTAATGGCAAAATATCAGAGTGAGTTAATATTATGTGTAAGTTTAAAGCTTGTTATTATTATGTACAATTTTATTGTGTTCAATAAGGGTGGAGGTGTAACATATTATGGAGGTATCTGTGAATTTACTTTTATAAACCAATGTCAGTTTGTATGCTAGCTCAGTTCTCAAATAGACGTTATTGCGAGCACTCCGTTGTTTTATTTATCAACTCCATCCTTACCAGGAAAAATACTTGTAATTATTCCTAAAGGCCATTGTAAAGGTAGNAAAGGTGGAGAGTTTTCTACAATTAGTAGAACTACGGTACCTACTTTTATTGGATTAGAAGGTGTATTCCATTTTTCACGCAATTGCAAATTATGTAAATACTCCGATCTAAATCTTTTCCAGAAGGACTGAACAAGCGAATCCATCAATGAGAAACGAGACAGTAAATTAGTTCGTTGTTCAGCTAAATCAGCCGCAGGTAGGCACTCGAGTGGAGCGGTAGATAAAAAATGCGACGGTGTAAGCGCGAGCGGTTCCGATGGGTCAGAACTTAAAACATAAAGAGGTCGACTATTGAGCACTGCTTCAATCTGAGCAAGAACAGTCGACATCTCCTCAAAAGTGAGAATTTGATTCCCGATGACGCGGAACAATAGCGATTTAGCGCTCTTAACGTTCGCTTCCCATAGGCCACCAAAATGGCTCGCAGTGGGAGGATTCATTCGCCACGTGATGCGATTCTTCGCGAGTTCATGACTAAAAGTTTGATAATAATCGTCAGTTTTTAAAAACTCGTGAAGTTCATTAAAATAAGATTTACTTGCAACAAAATTGGTGCCATTGTCGCTATATAAGAACGTACAAGGGCCACGTCGCGACAAGAAACGCTTAAATGCGTCAATAAAAGAAGCCGAAGTTAAATTAGAAACGAGTTCCAAGTGAACTGCTTTAGTCACAAGACAAATAAATAAGCATAAGTATGCTTTTACGCTGCGAACGCCGCGCTTGCGATATGGCGTAATATAAAGAGGGCCTGCGTAATCTACGCCCGTGTGTAGAAACGCTTTGCATTGCTCCAATCTACATTTAGGCAAATCAGCCATTGGCGGGAAAGTAGACTTCGGATGAAGCCGAAAACAAATGTTACATTTATGGATGAGCTGTCTAACAACACGTCTAGCGGAAATAATCCAATATTTAGACCTTAAAAGAGCAATTAATAACTGCGGTCCGGCGTGGCAGTTGTCACGGTGATAAGATTCAATTAGAAGTTCGACTATACGTCCCTGTTTAGGCAGTAGTATAGGATGCTTAGATGAATAATCTAGTGTCGAGTTCGATAAGCGACCTCCGACGCGTAATATTCCATCACATAAAAACGGATATAATTTTAATAATTTTGATGAACATGGTTGTTTGTTAGACACCTTTTTAATATCCTCTGAAAAATATACAGATTGCACAGCCTGAATTACTTTTAATTCGGCGGCATTTAAATCGTCAGCGGTAATGACATTATTTTGCGGTAGCCTCTTCATAAATCTGAGCATATAAACAGTGACGCGTAAAAGCTTGTCCCACGAGGAACAGCGAGATGCAAGAGACAAAATAGGATTTTCAGCTTCAGTTACTTTTTTAGTAGCAACATGAGAAACTGTTTTTTCTTCAGGCAAAGATAATTTGTTAGGTACAAATTGTTGTATAGGCCAATTATCAATAGGCAGTGAAAGCCAAACCGGTCCTTTAAACCAAAGTTCGTGCTGAGTTAACTGCGCGGGCGTAAGTCCGCGAGATACACAATCTGCGGGGTTTTGTACGCCGGGAATGAAGTATAACTTATCAGGCGAAATATTTGTTTGAATTTGTGAAATGCGGTTGGCAACATAAGTATCAAATCTATGTGGCGAAGCGACCGACCAACATAGTGCGACTTCTGAATCTGAGAAAGCGTAAATGTTATCAATTTCATATCTATTTGACATGCTGTCGTAAACGATTTTAAGAAAACGAGACATTAATAATATTCCATTGAGCTCTAAGCGCGCGAGCGTGATCTTAGGTTTAGCAGACGCGACGCGCGATTTTGAACATAAAAGCGTGACAATAGGAGGCATATTGCCATTTACGACGTGTAAATAAATAACACAACCATATGCGGATTCACTAGCGTCTGAAAAACCAATTAAAGAAACTTTAGAGCCGCATTTAATGCCTACATGGCGCGGGAACGACAAGCGGGATATTTGCGGTAATTCAAACAAATATTGTTGCCATACATTAATAATGCGGGAGGGGGGCACATCGTCCCAATCAAGATTGAGAAGCCAAAGCTCCTTAATTAATAATTTAGCGAAAAGAATAATAGGTCCGACGAGTCCTAAAACGTCGTACAGACGAGCGGTGGCGGATAAAATGGCGCGCTTTGTACAAACTAGTGGCGGACTAGAAGTCTCAAAAACAAAAGTGTCTTGGGCGGGTAACCAGCGCAAGCCTAAAATCTTAAATATATTTCCGTCATCAAAGGAAATAAATTCAGATTGGCGGTGCGACTCGGGTATTTGCTCGAGTAACTCAAGAGAATTGGAAGTCCACTTGACCAAATCGAAACCACCGGCTTTGAACAGCTGAATTAATTCTCTGGCTATCTTAACTGCTTCTGGAAGAGAAGAAGCAGAAGAAGCCAGGTCATCCATATAGATGTCTCTTTCTACGACGGAGGCTGCGTCTGGCCAATTGTGACGTTCGTCACTAGCAAGTTGGCGCAGAGTGCGGAGTGCCAAGAATGGCGAAGATCTGAGCCCAAATGTGACTCGAGTAAACTCCAAAGTTTCTAGCGGGTCTGTATCAGAAAATCTATATAAAATACGTTGATATTTGCGGTGCGGAGGATTAGTATGAATACACAAATACATTTGTTTAACATCTGCAAAAAATGCAATACTGAATAAACGAACGTTCAAAAGAATATGAAAAATATCAGCCTGTAGATTGCAGCCGGTGTGTAAGACATCGTTAAGTGACAGGCCGGTGTCAGTCTTGGCACTGCCGTCCAAAACAGGGCGAACTTTAGTGGTCGACTTGTCGTCGCGAACCACAGGATGATGCGGTAAATAAAAACCCGGAGACTCACAGGTAGGGTTGCCACCTTTTATTTTTGCAGTTAAAGTACATTGGTTATTATAGGTAAGAAAAAAAAAGTACATAGTATCAAAATAAAGTACAATTTATTTTTTCTAATTATTATGTTTAAAAACATACTTTTTATTGCTTTTTGCAGTTTGTATCAAATTAGCATCTTTACTAAATAATTGCACAGCATCTTTACAGTCTATATTGAAATTAAAGTAAATAAGTAATTCATTTTTTATTAAATTCAGAGACGCTTTGTTTCTTTCGTCTCGCCATTTGTTATTCATCACAGAAAACACTCTTTCTGTAAAGGCTGACGTGGCGGGAATAGACAGTAAAAATTAAATTACTTTATACAAGTTTAAAAAATTATCATCACTCTTACTAAATACTTGCTGCCATTTTTGTGCAGTTGATAGTTCTGCAAAACCCTTAGAAGTACATAACTGATTATAAAGTTGGTTTAATAAAGTGATTTCTCCGTAAAGATTATCCATATCCACATTAAGCCTTTGCAAATTTAAATTCTCAATTATGTTCACAATATTGTCAAATTCTATATTACTCTTTAAATTTATATTACCAAGTGTAAATAACCAGTTTGTGTTATTAAAATCAAACCATTTATTCAGGTACTCTAGGGATTTGTCAATAAATAATAAAAAATTCCCTTGAATTTTCCTAGTCAGTTCCGGTGAAGATAACAGTTGAATTTTTTTGCCTGTTCCATAGCCAAAAAACATATCTTGTTTTCTTTGTGTTAATTGATCTCTAAGACTAACCATAATCCCATAAATATCTAAAATTGTTATGTAGTTGCCTTCTAGACATTTCACAGCTTTATTAAATAAATTTAATAATTATGTGACTACAAAAATGCAAATATATTTCAATCATATCATTCTCAGTTTCATTGAGCATCAATAAATTTTGTAAAACTATTGGACAATGGTCTAAACTTAAAAAATAGCTTCTAATAGGTGACCAATTCAATAATAATGTATCAATGCATGGCAAAAGAGAAAGCCATCTTGTTCCCACATGGCGTCGTATTTCATGAAAGTCTCCATCTACTGATGCTACAAATTTTTTCAGTTCCTCTCTTCTTACAGCAGAATGTGAAAAATGTGCATAAATTTTTAAAATCACATTTTCTATGTCATGTGATAAAAAGCTCATTGCATGCCTTACACAATTATGCACTATATGTGCATGACAATTGCCTTTAATCAAATTTGGTACCATGTTTTTTATATTCGTGAATAAAGAATGATTAACGCCAAAATTAGCATTTGTATTATCAGCACTTAACCCAGATACATTATTAAAAGATAATTTGTATTGCTCTAATGACTTTTGAATTGCTTCAAACATACCGTCAGCAGATTCATTACTATTTTCATAAAAATCTATTAATTTGTTTTCAATACCATTTTTTGCTGTAAAATATTGTATCACTAATGGAAACAGTTTTATATTTTTTTTGTTTGAAGCATCTGTTTGTAAGCAGTAAAACAAATTGTCTGTATTGATAGCATCTATTACATTTTGTAAAGAATATGGGCCTAACACCTCTGTAACTAGTGCTTCCATTTTTGTTCTAGCTAGACGAATTGCTGTAGCTGTAGATGAATCGACATAAATCATTTTATTCAATTTTATAGTACAATCCATGCTATTGTAGGACAAATTATGTTTTACTGTGTGATATGTTAGGGCTAACTCGGATGCAACAATATTTTCTTTATCACTGTATCGAGAAGATGTGGAAGCAGAAGAAGAGTCAAGAAATTTGTCAATTAGTCCAGTTGTTCTCCTCATTTCTACTTTTGATTTGTGTTGTTTGGTCTGCTGGTGTTGTTTAATCTGAAAATAATATGAATAATCCTGTCACCTTACTCATCACCTCCAGTCACCATCAAATAAATATGCTTTTAAAGTTTTTGGGAAAATTTCTGCATCATTATTTTAAATAAAATCAGATCATTTTATAGCATAGTATAACATAGTTTAGTTTTGATATTTAATGCAACCATACCAATAAACATACACACACACACATGAAAATACAGAAAAAAAGAAAAAATATTACTTGTCCTATTCCTGCTGAGGCTACTGTAAATGTAATTCCACATAATTTGCATTTTCCATTATATTCGTTTAGTGGATCATTAATTAACCAATCACCATGTTCGATTTCCCACTGACTTTTATACTTCTGCAATCGTTTAATTTTCTGTTTTGTCGGATCATTTTTTTTTAAATATTTTTTCGGTGTAGTATGTTCATTATCTATTTGATCCGTTTCACAATCGAAATTACGTTTTGCAGGTGTATGTGGAATATTCTTATCCATAATGTACCATAGCATAAATCTATAAAACTTTAAATCGTATTCTAATTTGCACTCAAGCCGCTCCGCAAACAAACAAAAATTTGTGACAATATGTGGTGACAATCAGGGTACGGAAACTTCCATACTACGATCAAACTTGCTTCCAAACAGCGACTTCAGTCGATAAATTCCAATACTTTTTTTTTTTTCTTTATGGCTCTCGCGGATTGCGTTTAGCCACGACAGGGTTCTTGATTTTTGCGTTCAGTTTTGCCATAAGTTTTGCGGACATTGCGTTTAGANGCACTGCCATCCAAAACGGGGCGAACTTTAGTGGTCGACTTGTCGTCGCGAACCACAGGATGATGCGGTAAATAAAAACCCGGAGACTCACAGGCCTCGGGCGCGGTGCGGGAAAGAATACCCTTATTTAGGTATTCCTGAAAAATATCGTCATATTTAATTTTTAAAGTAGGATTATTAGCGAACTTCTTTTCGAGAAGTAAAAAGCGTTTTTTAGCGGTATTATAAGAATTTCCTAATTTCTGAGGGTCATCATTAAAAGGAAGATCAACAGAATAACTGCCGTCAGAGCAACGAACAGTTGTAGATGTATAAATAGTTTCACAAAGTTGGTCTTCAGGGCTTAAAAAGGTGCGCGAGGGCAGTTCCTCGACCGCCCAAAATTTTTCAACGACTTGATGAAGCGGNTCGCTAACGAAGCCAACACGTGAACGACAATATACGCGCGGAGTAGCCTATGCTCGGGGAGAATCAGGCGCTTTCAAAGACCGACCTAAGTCGATGCAGAGAAGTGCGCCCGGAACGCTCCGAACGCAGACTGGCCTCTGTACAGCGTCGACGCCTTTTATATGCTCCGTCCGTAGCGGGGCCGCCGCGTGCGGGGCAGGGTGTCGCTGCGTCATCGAGCGCGGGCGGCGCTGCGTCATCGAGCGCGGGCGGCGCGTCGTCGTGTTACAGGCTCCCCCTCTGGACCCGAAGACGCCCCGGCGAGGAGTCCAGTGGCTGCGCTCGTGGCTGCGCTCGTGGCTGCGCTCGTGGCTGCGCTCGTGGCTGCGCTCGTGGCTGCGCTCGTGGCTGCGCTCGTGGCTGTGCTCGTGGCTGCTTTCTTCGGTCTTCCTCGTCTGCGCAAAGGTTTTTCGGGATTAGGCAAAACGAGGTCTGTTCCTCTGTAAGGAGTCAGAGCTGAGGAGTGATAAGTACCAAGAGGTACATTTGGTTGAGCTGGGTCAGCTATTTCGTAAGAACAAGGTCCATGCTGCCGCAGGACAACATAAGGGCCATCACGGCATGGGTTTAACTTAGCTGTCTGATAGCGAGAGGCGTTGCTCAGCGTGTTGGATGCCACCAGCACGAGGTCACCTGGTTGATATGCAGTTGATGGCCGACGGTGCTCGTCAGCTATCTTCTTTCTCGCCTCTTCCTTGTGCTCTTGGACTTCTTGGGCCTTCTTTACGGTGTCTGCTAACAGAAGAAGTTTGGGTGTGATTTCAGGAATAAAGTTCTCTGACAAAGCTATTTGTCTCAGATCATGTTTAATATCGTCGAAAGTTCTTAGCTCTCTGCCAAACATTAGATATGCAGGAGTATAGCTCGTGCTGGCGCATCTTGAAGTATTCATGGCATACCTGATGCTTGGCAGTTTACCTACCCAAGATCGATGGTCATCGCCTACCAAAATGGCTAATTGTGTTTTAAGATCGCGGTTTCGTCTCTCCACGGGGTTCGTTTCAGGGTGATAAACGGGAGTGAATGCATGAGTTATGTCAAGGCAATATGTTAATTTCTGCATTATGGCACTAATAAACTGTGTTCCATTGTCGCTGATGATTCTCCGTGGGATTCCATAGCGAAGAAATACTTCATTGAGTAAAACATCTGCACACGCGTCTGCTGTTGCATTTTCTAGGGCAAATAATTCAATCCATCTCGTAGCAACATCCTCGACTATAAATATCCATGTTTGGTTATTTATTGATGGTGGCAGAGGACCGAATAAGTCGAATGATAAAGTTTCGAACCTTTGGTTCATAACCGTAGTTTGCAACAAGCCTGCAGGTTTCATATTACTAGGTTTGTAACGCTGGCATTTGATACAATTCCTTACATAATTCTCAATATCCTTTCGCATACCCTGCCAGTAGTACCGTTTTGATATACGTTCAAAGGTTTTGTCTGCCCCATAATGTCCAGCGGATGGTTCATCATGGTATTGTTGTAGCACAGTTGATCTCTCGCTTTGGGGTATAACAAGCTGTCCAGCATCATCACTGCTATCCTCCAGGTATCGATATAACATTCCACTGCTCATGAAGTACCCCTTGTTTGACCAATAAACCGCGTCCTCATCCTTCACAGGTTTTTCCAAAGTGTCAATGATCTTCTTTATTTCAGGATCGGCGATTTGTCCTTGCCTTATTTCGGCTCCAGAGTACCGTGGTAGGTCGACAGAAACTACACAAATATCGTGACTGATATTTTCAAGCTCGTATGGTGGCCTGGAGAGGCCATCTGCGACTATGTTTGTTTTTCCTGGGATGTAATTAATTTCCAGGTTATAGGGCTGTAGTTGTAAAGCCCATCTTGCAAGGCGTCCAGTGGGAGACTTGATGGACATCAACCACTTTAATGCCTGGTGATCCGTGGCGATTATCACCGAAGACCCTTCTATATAGCCTCTGAACTTTGATACGGCCCATATTGCTGCCAGTGCTTCGCGTTCTGTCGTTGAGTAATTCCTTTCAGCTTTTGTTAACAAGCGACTCGCGTACTCTACTGGGTGTTCATCAGCACCCTCCCCCTGCACTAGAACAGCACCTATGGCGTAATCACTAGCATCCGTTTTGATGGTGTACGGTTTGCTGAAGTCCGCTTGACGCAAAATAGGCGCACTGGTTAGGCGACGCTTTAGATCGTCGAATGCATCCTGTTGTGAGGTTCCCCACTCCCATTTAGTATCTTTCTTTGTCAACTGGGTTAGTGGTTGGGCGCATCTTGCGAAGTTCGGCACAAAACGGCGATACCATGAACAGGTCTGCAGAAATGATTGAATTTGCTTAACATTACTTGGTACGGGCATGTTCATTATGGCTGCGACCTTTGCGGGGTCTGTTTGCAGGCCCGACCTCGTAATAATGTGACCAAGATAGGGGATTTGATCTTGGCAAAACCGACACTTCTTCTTATTGACGACGACGTTGTTCTTCTTTAGGAGCTGAAACAGTTCATCCAGGTCTTGCATGTGGCGCTCAAATGAGGGGGACAGCAGTATTAGGTCATCCAAATATGCTAGTAGCTGCGCGTCTATTTGGATTCTCAAACGGTCGATAAATCTTTGGAAGGTGGCCGGGGCATTCCGCAATCCAAACGGCATTCTTCTAAACTCATACAATCCGAAAGGTGTGATAAACGCTGTCTTCTTCTGGTCCTCAAGGCGTACTTTAATCTGCCAATAGCCAGATTTCAGATCCAATGACGTCATGAAGGGTGTTGGCTTGGCCTCGTGCAGAAGGTCGTCCAGTCTTGGCAATGGATATGCATCTGGTATCGTTATACTATTAAGTTGGCGATAGTCGATGCAGACTCTTACATCGCCGTTTTTCTTCGGGACCATTACTACTGGTGCTGCCCACGGGGAATTCGACGGTGCAATGATCCCTTCCTCCAACATCTGGTTGATTTCTTTGCGTAATATTTCCTTACGTAGTGGTGACATTCGATACGGCGGTACAGCTATTGGGGAATGGTTTCCTGTTTCTATAACATGTTCAACCAAAACAGCCGGATTCCCATTAGCCGAGAATACTCTTGCATTCTGTTCCAATATAGTAGCTAACTGCATTTCCTGGTTCTGGTCGAGATCCCTCACACCTTCAACCGCCACCATAGCAATGTCAATATTGGGGCCGAACTTGTTACAGCTATCGGGTGAAAGTTCAATTTCGGTCATATTGATCGCCATCTGGGCATCTCTGTACAAAGAACCAACAAATCTTGGTGAGTAACCATTAAGTTTATGGCCTTCATGTGTTGGTGATGATGGTGGCGTAACGAAATTCAACTTTATCGGAGGTCCATACACCATTTCTGGGGGTTCGTGACTTGGAAAGGATGCATTTGGAGATGGAGTCATTTGCATTGGAGTCACCATTGGTTCTAATGCGGTCATCTTGATTAATTTGGAGATAGTTGTTGCTGGTGATGTCTCTGTCTTCATTATGGCCACTGCTGTCGACTCGTCATCTTCATTTATGAGATCAAACTTTTTAGCAGGTTCATCTAGGAAGTGGTACAGGAGCTGGGGCAAATTGAGCACTATCTTAGCGTCTTGTATAAAATCTACTCCTAAGAGAGTTCTATTATCTTGAGACTCTGGCAAAATGATGAAGTTAGTCGTTACAATTTTGTTGCTAATTGTAACAGGCACCGATGTTCTCATTATTTGCTGCCGACGTCGTAGCCCATCAGCCAAGGTAATAGTTGCAGACTCAGTTATAAACTTAGAGCCTAGTTCTTTTAGGACCTTGAAGAGAGACTGAGAAGCCACGCTTAACTTAGCCCCAGAGTCAATATGTGCTCGTCCGCTGATGCCGCCAATTTTAATATCTACTGTTGGGCGCAGGCGAGATATGTGGGCGAGACTAGGACTCAGTGCATAGAATCCAACTTCCACAGCGCCTATTTTTGCAGGTGGGTTGCACTTATGGCATTTACTCCTTATTACACCAGGCTCGCCGCATCCATAGCAAGTGATCTTGGTTGAAATTGGTTTGTGATCAAAGGAGGTACTCGCAGAAGGCTGTGCTCGCTGATCATTCGCACTCTTCTTCCGGCAGGTGTCTTCAGTGTGTCCGAAAGCGCGGCAAAATGTGCATCGAGTTCTTTTTCCTGACGGCGTATCTGCAACTGTACACTTAGTTCGTTCAGCCAAGATTTCTTCGATTTGGCGAGCTTTCTTAAGGAAGTCATCGAAATTGGACACACTGTCTCGGGGAATTTTATCCCTTATATCTACATGCAAGGAGGTGTATAGGAGGTCCAAGCATTGAGAAGTACTGAGAGAAGGTTTAGGCAATTCGGCCATAAGTGCACGTTTCTTTGCTACAAACAGCTCTGTACCTCTTGGCTGTGATTGTTTATTGCATACTATCTCTTCATATATTTTGTATGCCGGCCTCTTAGGCGCAAATGTGGTACGCAGAAGCGATACTGCCTCCAGCCATGTGTGGATATCGTCCTTAACACCTAACCACCATATCGAAGCTTCTCCAGTGAGTAAAAGCGTTAGGCCTTCGATGGCATCGCTATCAACAATAGATTCGATTTTCTTGAAGGTGGTGATGGTTGATATAAATGCTTCGACCACTGAGTTATCGCGAGTTCCGTCGAAACGGGCTGTGCATGATGCGAAGCTACCAGTTTTTTGGGGTGAAGCGGAATTCCTGCTTGCTATCACTCCTAGGAGTTCCCGGAACTGATCGTCCGTGAAGCTAACGTTCGACATCTCTTGACGACGCCGACTCATCAATAGGGATATTCAAAATTATGAAATAGTTGTAAAAAAAAATGTGGGTATATATGTATAAATAAACTATGAACTTATTAATGACAACAAAGTACTATTTACTTCTAATAAATTTAAATGGCTAGATAAAATTTAATTTGGTAATCTAATGAGGTGTACTAAATAAATAAAATACATACACATAAGTACATACCATATAAGTTATTGTATTAGGGTGAATTTCAACAAGTGCATATTTTTGCCTAATTTTGGTGGAAATTGTTATTTGTGTATTTTTATTCTTTAATTATAGATCAAATTTATTGGAAACTTATACTGTTTCTAAAATGATTAAGACATTAAATTTTGTCCAGTAGTTTTTTAGATTTTCCTTACACCAAAATTAAGAGAACACCAAAATTTATATTAAAGCACCAAAATTAGAAAATATGCTGTCAGTCAGTCATATCTTAGTGCCAAGCTCAAGAAATGGTTTTAAATTTACCAGCACCGACTCCAAAAATATTAATCATGGTATATTGTCCTAATAAATAAATAACGACGTACTTATTTTCTACTTTTAAGTGATTGTTGGCGTCGGTTTTAATTTTTTTGTTAAAATTATTTTTTTTCATGCTTTTTAGTTGATTAGTCCTTGTTATTGTCACTGAAGAGGGACAGTACCTATGTTTAATGTGATTAAGACTATAATTTTCATAAACTTTGAATTTTTGACTAATTTCAATATCTAATTACAACGTGTGATATATCATTGGAAAGAAGAGAAGCTGGAGATATTTTTAAGATTATTGGCAATCCATTATCACCATTAGTTTTTTTTTAAATCGAATTCGAAGTACAATTTTTTTTCGTGGTTTGTACTTTTGTTAAACTTTGGCGGCTCGTAACTAGTTATTCAATCATTATCTGGATCTAAAATTTATTTTATTTGACTAAAGGTTTATTCGATATTAGTATCAAATAAAAAAATCGGTTAAAATCATGCGAGAAAAAAAAAATAAGCAGTTTTTAGGTCAAATTTCGGAAAAAGTATGAAAATTGACGTATCTCCTAAACTATGAAACTTTAGTCATAGAAAGTAAGGTTCAATAATTAGCAAATGACCTCCTCTATACGCGTATTAGCTATGGCGGGTTCAGTTCCAGTCACCCTGTATACTTGAAAATGGCACAAATCAAGTCGACCTCGACGTGTATTGCCAACATCATCAAAAAAGACGAAGAACATTTGGTCATGACTTATGGTCCTATGTCCCCTAGATGGGGCAGAGGGCGTCCACAACAGTCCTCCATCTCGTTCGATCTTGAGCTTCTCGCTTGATCTCGCTCCAGGTCTTGCCGATCTTCTTCGCCTCGTCCGCTACAGTGCGCCGCCAAGTTTGCCTGGGTCGACCACGTTTGCGTTTTCCTTGGGGATTCCAATCCAGAGCCTGCTTAGGGATGTGATCGGGGTCCCTTCGGAGAGTGTGGCCAATCCAGTTCCATTCCAGATCTGCTGGTCGATCGANTAAAGCCTAGAATTTTTTGTGTGGCTCCTCCTATGCCTTGAACTTCCGTATAGCGGGTTTGTTTATGTATAGGAAGCGATAAACGCTTGCAGCAATCAGCGGAAATATAATCACTCTGAGAGCCAGGGTCTACTAGACATCTCAAAAGGTGAGTGCGGTTATTACAATCAATAACTTTTATTTTAGCGGTTCCTAATAAAGTTGTCGTTTGAAAACGTTTACTACGATCGCACGAAACTGTACAAACCGATGCATTATTTTCAAACGTGTGCGGTGATTGAATAGCGGGAGAATGAGTCATAATATTCGACTCGGCATGACCGGCCGCCGTAGTGCGGGCGGGGTCATGAGCGGTAGCGGAAATATTAGCGGGGTCGGACATCGCTGCTGCACCAATATTACAGTTACTAGATTTAACATTTGTATTGAAATGCAATAATGAGTGATGTCGCATATAACAATGAGAACAATTATGTTTTGAAGTACATGAAAAGGTTTTATGTCGTACACTTAAACAGTTGTTACAAAAAGAGTTATCAACCGACTTCAAAAAAAGGAGGAGGTTCTCAATTCGACCCGTATGTTTTTTTTTTTTTAATAAAATTATAACGATCAAATGGCGTTAATTTCATAAAAGAAGGACATGAATACATGTGTTCGTGCGGTTTATTATTACACAAGCTGCACTTCTCGCTTCCGCTTGTGTTGTTTACACTAGACCCTTCCGTATTCACAAAAGATTTCGTAGGCGTAGGGGTGTGCTTAGCGGATGATTTAATTTGCGGTTGAGAAAAATTATTAACCGGTTTAATATTAGTTACAGAGCGAGATAAAACTTTACTTTGTTCTTTAATGAACTCAATTAAATTATGATAGGTTGGTATCTTTTCTTTGCGATATGTTATTTCAAATAATTTAATTGTTTCTGTATCTAACTTTTGAAGTGCTAAATGTAAGAAAATAAAATCAGTTATATCGCCAAGTTTTAATTGCTTGAGCGCTTCCACAGAGGAATTAAAAGTGTTTATAAATGAATCTAGTCCGGCTGAACTTGTGTTAGTTAGCGGTTTAAAGTGTAACAACTGGTTAAAATATGCACATGCGAGTGAACGAGGATCGTCATACTTTTGCACGAGTGCTTCCCAAATTACAATATAATTTTCAGCGGTGGGAGCCAGCCCTGCGCACACGCACGACGCCTGTCCAGTTAGTTTACCAACCAAGTAAAATACCTTTTCGCTATCGGTAAGAGATGCGTTATCATGAATCATGTTTTTAAATTGTTGATAAAACAACGGCCAGTTCTTGACGTCACCGTTGAATGACATCAAATCAATAGGAGGGAGGCGAGGCTTCGAGTTCGTAGGCGTTTGCGGTTGCGAATAAGAACTACAATTATCTTTCTCGATATCGAGCAAAAGTTGCTTAATATAACAGTACATTTCCTCAAATGAAGTCCACAAATCATAATCTACGTCTGAGTCGGGATTCAATTGTAAATTCAATATGTTATAAGAATCTAAAACGTCTTGAAAATCACTACGTAGTTTATCTATATTTGTGGCACTTGCACGAAATACCTTAAAGTTTTGTATGTTTTGTTCGGTTTTCTGTGCAAGGTCGTAAATATTTTCCATGCGTTTAAAAATAACATCGCGTTTAACAATAAAAATAGTCAGTTGATTTTTATTAGTATCGCCATTCTCGTCCACGAAAGCATCGCTTCCTCGTTTCTTAGATTTAACCATTGTAAATAGTTGTAAATATCTTTAGTTATAAAAGTAAAAGCGGGTAAAAATGTATATAAGAATATTATGCGGTTGCGTAAATAAAATAATGGCGAGCGGGTGATGTATAGAAAAATAATGGCGGGTAGCGAACGCTGAGACGCTGTGTTGTGCGTGATCGAATTTAACTGAACAACGAAATGAATAATGGAATGTAAATACGTTATTATGTAATTATGAAATCTAAAATTCAATTATTAGAATTGAGAGTGAATTAGCGGTGATGTAATATAACCAGAAGTAACTTGAAGTCACGCAAATGCGGTGCGGAAATAAAATAAACAAAAATAAAATAGTTGTCAACGCGGTTAAATAATTATAATGTCGACAATCTACTTTTATCTGCGTGATAAAAATACTCATACGTTATATCCAAAATGGCGGGTTAAATAAAATAAAATTTGCGGGTTAAAGATATGTGTTGTAAAGTTAAATTTAAATAAAAATATGCGGTTAAATAACGTAAAAATCGTATTTTAGATGCGAATATACGGCCGAAGTGACCAAAAAAAAAGGTGTAGTAGCCTAAATCCTACATCTCTTTTGGTTTGTAATCAGATGGCGGTTAAATTTATAATTCTTGGTTCATACCTATTAGGCTAGGTTTTCGATGTATTAGTGGACTGTATTTCTGCGGATGCTTAAACAGCTGCCTAAAGAACGCAGTTGTAAGCTTGCAAATAATAACTGGGACGAAGAGACCGAAGAAAAATGGCGACAGGAAATTTGGAAAGGAAACATGCGCACTTACCAATAATATCTCCGTCGGGCACTCTTCAAGTTTCACAAGCCACACACGATGGTTCCGAGCCGAACACTTAGCAATTATTGTTCTTTAGAGCTGTCTTGCACAAAATCGATATAAAATATAGGTCACGCACAAATTAATAAAGACACGTCTGTCTCAGCGTAGGCGCAAATTAGGAAGGGGCGATGTCCACCGTATGCGTTGCACATTCGTAGATCGCGGTGACAGACGAAGACGGCAACAGCAAAAGTGCACATGTTGGAAAGGGATGGGAGATGATGGGATTTAAAACATTTGCAAGCTTACCCTACAATAATTTTATTTTTACAAACCGCAAAAATACGAAATCCAACAACTACTTTGTCCAGAGTATGGCAACGAAGGAAGAAGAATAAGGAACATGTTTGAAATATTTGGAGCTTTTTACTCGTTAGGAAAATGCATGAAGTTGCATATCTACCAAAGGGTTGGGCTTACCCACTAAAAACCTGAGATATTTGAAGCCGTTAGAAGCCACTCACCGACGAGGACCCAGCGCCTGGTACACGAGTATGAGCTGATGCTTCTGGTCGGACGTCATAGCTACATTAGCTATTAGTTGCCAACATATTGTGAGCCTTATCGCCCGGTACTAAGGTCCACTACTCACCGACATAGTACCCCAGCGCCTGGTATCCAGTATAAGCTGCTGCTTCTGGTCGGACGTCATAGCTATGTACATTAGCTACTAGTTCCCAACATACTGTGAACCTTATCGCCCGGTACTAAGGTCCACTACTCACCGACATAGTACCCCAGCGCCTGGTATTCCAGTATAAGCTGCTGCTTCTGGTCGGACGTCATAGCTACATTAGTTATTAGTTCCCAACATATTTTGAACCTTATCGCCCGGTACTAAGGTCCACTACTCACCAACGTAGTACCTCAGCTCCTGGTATTCCAGTATAAGCTGCTGCTTCTGGTCGGACGTCATAGCTACATTAGTTATTAGTTCCCAACATATTTTGAACCCTATCGCCCGGTACTAAGGTCCACTACTCACCGACATAATACCCCAGCGCCTGGTACTCGAGTATAAGCTGCTGCTTCTGGTCGGACGTCATAGCGACATTAGCTATTAGTTCCCAACATACTGTGAACCTTATCGCCCGGTACTAAGGTCCACTACTCACCGACATAATACCCCAGCGCCTGGTACTCCAGTATAAGCTGCTGCTTCTGGTCGGACGTCATCCGCGCGAACACAGCTCCTCTCTCCGCCACGCGGCCTACCATGTGAGGGTAGGACGCTCGCAGCACCTGGTTGGGACATATTCCATTACCACAATGACACGAGTAGAGCGTTTACGCACTCAGGATTCAGATCAGAGGGCCTAGTGTGAGTTTACATCAAAAAATTACATTAAATGTATGACGGATTGTACAGCGCCCCTAGCGGGAAACGTTCAGAAACTAAAATTTTCATACATTTCTTATATTGATGTAAACTCACACTCAGTCCACAGACGTAGTGCGTAAACGCTGTAGGCAAATTAATGTAACAAAACAGTTCTTCATCAAATTCTCACAAGAAGTTAGCGTGTGATCTTTTAAAGTGTCACATTTATATCTTTATGAAACTCAATCATCATCATCATCATCACCATCATCTATTTTTTTATTTGAATATTATAATTTACTTGATACTTCCTTTTTTAAATATATTTGGATAATTTCACACAGCGCCATCTAGCCCCAAAGTAAGCAATTAATATACTTGAGTTATGGGTCTTAACGGATATACTACTCATATATTTTTTAAATACATACATAGTAACACCTACACCCGTCACAAAAATTTAAATTCATCATTTCAATTTCTGCCCGGCCGGGAATCGAACCCGGGACCTCTCGGCATAGTAGTCCGTTCTGAGATGGAATTGTGTAAAGCAATCGTTATCATTTGACAGTTTATGACGTAAGATTATTCTATCAAACGCTTTGTTTAACTGACTTTATCGTACGTTATGAACTGTCAAATGATTACGATTGCTTTACACAATGAGGGCTATCGTTTTAGCGCTCACCAGTTAGCGCCACTGTAGAGTAAGGTCCTGTCACTTGCTAGTAGCGAAGACAGTGGCACCAACTGGTGAGCGCTAAAGTGGTAGGAGGACTATCGCATTTGCACTCATCAAGATGGCGCCACTGTAGAGTAAGGTCCTGTCAATCGCCAGGGGTGCCAACTGTTAAGTATAAAAACGATAACCCTCATTCCACCTATGAACCACTACACCAAACGGCCGATTATACTAGCAAGCCGCACAAAGACATAAAGAAGAAATAAACAGTCCACTCACCCGCCAAGTATCGCCGCTCATCACGATCTTGTACTGGGGCTCCCGGCCGCTCGCCTCCACGTCCAGCGACTCAGAGTTAGAATTGGAGTTGGAAGCAGAACCGCGCCATGAGCCGTGCCCGCTGTCCACGCTGCGCCATGAGCGTTGTAATGCTGTCTTGCGGCCGACTGGCGCCTGCAATGAATTTGGTGTAAGTTACACTAGATGGTCTATTTGTACCAGAATTTGGCAGAAGGAAAGTCATGTATTTTTATAATATATTTGCAATGAGGCCTCTAAAACCCCCTTTTACAAATTCCTATGACTTTGATCCAACCACTGCTTCGGGACAAAAACGTGTGCGATTGCTGACAAAAAACAGCGCAAGAAATTATAACTATAACCCATTTTCATTCACTCATTTCAAATGTCTTACGATAGAGTTGGCTCACTGGTACTTAATATTACCTCTTAACGTTATGGGTGCAATAAATTTTCATTACGTATAGGTAGCTGAAATGTATGCACGTGGAGCAAACGGATTCTCTAAACTTTAGTCTAAAGCAGTGTTTTTCAACTGGGGGGTCGCGAAGCCTCTATAGGGGGTCGCGAGAGGTCGTGAAAACTACCTCAGTAAAAAAAACAGTAAAGTTTTAAAGCTAGATTTATCCGAAGTCTAATTATGCAAATGCATAAATGTTGTACAGATTGAAGAATTCGGTCCCTACAACATCTTCGTAAAAGGCATGAAAAAAATCGAACGGTCGGGGGGTCGCAAAAATTTTTTTCATGCTAGGGGGGTCGCGTCATGAAAAAGGTTGAAAAACACTGGTCTAAAGGATACCTTGTCTGCTGAACCTGCTCGATAGACCTACGACTTATAAGAGATAGCTTGTAGAAAAACTAGGAGATATCACATTGCGGCGTTTCTTAGTTCTTTTCTTTTAGATCCAACAATTTATTGCCTAGACTAAAATGATGAGGATTATAGTATTACCCCCCGAAGCATGCTCTCGCAGTAGATGACAGGCGTCTTCCCGCTCAAGTCGTGGGTTAAATGCACAACTCGCTCGCCGCTGGCCAGGATGCCGCATTCGCGCGCCACGCTCACAGCGGTGTGGATGTTGTCACCTGGAAATAAATAGCTTCATTAAAGTACTATCACAGAATAATAATAAGTACTACGTACAGAAGGTTTACTTCGCGATGGTATTTAAAAAAATGTATGCTCAATGTCATTAACAATATGGTGTAATTTAGCCTGTCTCAAGAGTCAAGCACCATTTTGTTGACAAACGTCAGTGATCGGCACTGCGCCGAAGCTATAGGGCTGACTTCGGTAAAATGATGTGACGTGAGGTGCCAAACTGCGGAAAATGACGGAGGAAATACATGATTTAGCATGAATTATCATGAATAATATTAACTACTTATTTACCTCTCAGTGTCTTGAGGCAACTTCAAAAAAGTATATTCTGTGTTTTTATTATTATTTAGGCAATTAAATACTGCACAGTATTTAGTACACCATTTTCTTTATTTTTTTCCATCATACACAATACGCGTGCGTGAGTCAATGTTCGCTCGTATGTGAGGCCTTGTCGAATAGTATCCTGTAGGGGGCCATCGTGCGTGTTTTGTTTTCGATGTAAACTCGCGGAGATGAACAGGCCTGATAAAACGCTCTTCTCTCTTCGTAACTGGACTAAAATTGAATAACATAAACAGCAGCTGTCTATGTATTTAGAGATTTGTGTATACCTATTTTTGACTGCAAAGTGAATAATGTTAAAGATATTTGTTAATTAGTTAGTTTCTAATAGCGCGGACTACAGTCAAAGTGTTCTACAGTAACTTCTAATTAAAAGCTGGACAATGGGAGAATTTAGTAAGAACATTGTTCACCAACTCACCAGTGATCATAACTACTTGGATGTTAGCCTCCTTCAGCTCGCGTATGATCCCAGTGGTGGCCGGTTTGAGTCGGTTCTCCATTATCACCAGCCCGAGGAATTCCAGTTCACGTTCAACCTACGATAAAGAAAAAATATTTGTCCCAAAAGAAGACATAACTAACACTGATTTCCGTCACCTTAACTTTAATCGTAACTATAACTATAAAGATAAACGGTGTTTTGTATGGAATGTAAGATGGTACAACCTAGGGTAAATGTTTTTAGGTTTTCACAGATACAGCAGTAAGGCCCAGAACAGACGGTAAAACGCAACTGCAACGAAACTGCTAGTTACTTTTGAGTTGCATCTAAGTTTCTGCCATAGCGTCCGTTGAGAGACCACACATGACGAGACCAGTTTGAAACTTTCAGATTCAGTTTCATTCATCAGAATCATCAGAAAGTTGCAGTTGCGTTTCACCGTCTGTTCTGGGCCTAAGGGTCCCGGTTTCCATATTATATGGAAAGACAAGAGTCATCCTCTTGAGTCATCCTCTTTTTCAGTCAGTCTTGCCAAAAAAATCAGCAATAATATTTTTCAAAAAATATGCCAATGCCATACATACATGACATACCTGTTTTTTTGTGTATCTAACAAGGCATTAAAAAAGTTACTCTTTTTCAGGCAATTTGATGTATTTTCATGATTTTAGGAATCAATATCGGTTGGCATACCTCGTCTCTATGCATCTTCTGAAGCTGTTTGTGCGTGGTTTCCATGAGGCGCGTTGCGAGCGCGATGACGCGGTATCCCTTCTCCGCGTACGAGCTTAGCACTTCGTTCAAGTTGTCGGGCACTGAAATATTGCTTGTGATTAGTATTAATTAAATTTTATACAATCACCTACTATTTTTCGTTGAAATCTTTATGAACTTTCTAGATAAAATATTTTTATTACACATTAAACTCAAGACGATATTACAAGCAATAAATTGTGTAATTAAACATATTTTGGTTTATTTATAATCAGTTGTCCAGTACACATAGTACAAGAGTTTGGGACTAAATGTTCAAGTTCATGGACATGGACCATATTCATGGATAGATGGCCTTATAATGGTTGCAGAAAGGCGCTGGAGGTAGTTCTCTTCCAACTGGTCAATCTAGAAATCATTGGGGGAGGTCATGTTCAGCAGTCAAGTGGACGTCATGTGTCTGATATGATGAAGACATACGTAATTACGTATTCTATCTTTCTCATACCTGTCTCCGGCAAACACAGAGTCCGCAACATTTCGGGAGCACCCTTGCAAAACACACGGAGGACATCCTCTCCTAACACCCGCGTCACGACTGACGAACGCTGCAGTGACGACACGATCTGATATTGCTGCACTACTAGAGTATCAGATCCTCCCTACTAGATATCTGTCCCTTTCGCACCTGTATAATGTCCGTCTATCTCTCGAATGCTGCAGAGATGACACAAAATGGTGCTGCTGCACTATCTATACCCACTTGCAGCGGCATCTTCTCAGCTAGCTATCTGTCCCTCTCGCACCTGTGTAATCTCTCGAATGCTGCAGAAATGACACAAAATGGTGCTGCTGTATTATCTATTTCTATGATCACTTCCAGCGGATCTTCTCTGCTAGCTATCTGTCCCTCTCGCACCTGTGTAATAGCTAGTTGTCTATCTCTTTCGCACCTGTCTCCGGCAGACACAGGGTTCGCAACATTTCGGGAGCGCCCTTGCAAAACACACGAAGGACATCCTCTCCTAGCACTCAAGTCACGACGGAGGAACGCTGCAGTGACGACACGATCTGATATTGCTGCACTACTAGAGTATCAGATCCTCCCTACTAGATATCTGTCCCTTTCGCACCTGTATAATGTCCGTCTATCACTCGAATGCTGCAGAGATGACACAAAATGGTGCTGCTGCACTATCTATACCCACTTGCAGCGGCAACTTCTCTGCTAGCTATCTGTCCCTCTCGCACCTGTGTAATAGTTAGCTGTCTGTGGCGACGCCACTACAAACTAGTGACCAACAGATGGCGCTGTTACTACTTCACTATGGCACACTCCGCCGCTCATACAAACCTGCATCGCGGTGACGGAGTTTTATATCCTGCCAAGTATATATAGATAAACCAAGATGGTGTAAATTGGACCTTGGTCCCCGAGCATAACACCCGCTCGGAAGGTAGCACTAACATCTAGCTTCCTTATTGTGGTTGAGCATCATATCCCACATGTCTCTTACGCACCTGTCTCCGGCAGACACAGAGTCCGCAGCATCTCGGGAGCTCCCTTGCAAAACACACGAAGGACGTCTTCTCCTAGCACTCGAGTCACGACTGACGAACGCTGCAGTGACGACACGAACTGGTGTTGTTGCACTATGCCGACTTCTAGCGGCATCTGGTGAGGAAATGTGTGAATTAAAACCTTGGAAAAATTGTTTCAGAATAATATGTTTATTGCAAAAATTACTATAGTTCGTTTGTTGTAGCATAATGCGGATGACACCTGTCGTTTAAGTCACGCCTGTCATGTTCCATAGTTCTTTTCCGATAAAATCTGATAATTAAGGTTGGCTAGCGTAAGAAGTTTAAAGATAATAATATGTACATTCTCTATCTACCTTTGGTAAATTAGACAGTCGTGTTCCCGTAGTGGATATTAAATGACCAGATGATGAAAGTACTTACATTGACGTCATCAACGTTGATATTAGCAGTTTTCTTGGGCTTGACTATCGTTGGCGTCAGGACTTCGTAGTTGGTGGATTCGGGCACATCTGGCTCTTCAAGAGTCCATCCAGTTGACTCAAACATCTGCAATAAGATAAGATAAGATAAGAATCTGCAGAAATCTGCAATGTAAATAACATACGATATTATTATAATATAAGTATTTTTCATATTTGATACGACGAAGCTGATTTAAAGTTCATGATCATCATTTCAGCCACATGACGTCACACACAGCTGAATATAGGTCTCCTCCAATTATTTTCAGGTTGGCCGGTTTTAAAGTAGCCAGCATCCGGCGTCTTTTAGCAACCTTTATAAAGTCGCCTTATGAGTCATCACACGCTGCGCTTGCCGATACGTGGTGGTAATCCCAGAACCTTGCTGCCCCATCGGCCGTCAGTTCTGCGAGATAATTATGGACACTCCAAGTGGCAATACCACTTCAGCTTACGAATCCATCGGGCCAATTCAGGCTTTAACAACGCGCGACTGTAGCAAGTGGCCAAGACAATTTTTAGGCAGCGCTCGAAGAAACTACGCTCCATATGACCAGGTGTATGTCCTACCTTCAAATCCAGCGGATCTTCAGCCAGTTCTGCATCCAGCAGCGTAAGACTGTGGCACGCCGCCATGCCAATCTTCAGCGGGTGCAGGTCGTTAAGAGCCCTTGGGTCTCTTACGCCGCTCGAAGAGTCTACTTCCCATATGACCTGGTTTGTGTTCTACCTTCAAGTCCAGTGGATCTCCAGCTAACTCAGCATCCAGCAGGGTAAGACTGTGGCATGCTGCCGTGCTTATCTTCAGCGGGTGCAGGTCGTTAAGAGCCCGTGGGTCTCTCCCAGGATCCCATTCTAGAATCTTGCTGCCTCGACGGCCGTTAGATTTGGGTGCTATACTAGCTGTGAACTGCTCAAAGGCACTCCGTCGGGCTATGACAGCGACTAGTTTGTGTGTCCTACCTTCAAGTCTAGCGGATCTCCAGCTAACTCAGCATTCAGTAAAGCAAGACTGTGGCATGCTGCCATGTCTATATTCAGCGGGTGCACACGAGTCTCTCTAGATCCCATTCGAGAATCTTGCTGCCTACTAGCTATGAACTGCTCAATGGCACTCTGTCGGACTATGAAAGTGACTCTAGCTTGTGTGTCCTACCTTCAAATCCAGTGGATCTCCAGCCAGCTTTGCATCCAACAACGTAAGACTGGCACGCCGCCATGCCGATCTTCAGCGGGTGCAGGTCGTTAAGAGCCCTCGGGTCGCGGAGCGCGCGGCCCAGATGCGCTGGTTGTGTTGCGGTGCTTGATGGGACTACGCCCCACATGACACAAAGGGTTTCCGAAAGGTTTTTGCGGTATTTCGCTGCCCATCTCTAGGTACTTTCCGCGACCTTCACCAGATCGTCGATTCAATAAGTAAAAGGCCTCGAAAGTCGAGATCTTTTCTGCCCCAACAGCCAACCTAGGAGTTATGTGCCCCACCCACTGCCACTTAAGAAAGTCATATAACCTGGTGTATGTCCTACCTTCCAGTCCAGTGGATCTCCAGCCAGTTCAGCATCCAGAAGGGTAAGACTGTGGCACGCCGCCATTCCTATCTTCAGCGGGTGCAAGTCGTTAAGTGCCCTTGGGTCTCTTACGCCGCTCGAAGAGTCTACGCCCCATATGACCTAGTGTGTCCTACCTTCAAATCCAGTGGATCTCCAGCCAGTTCAGCATCCAGCAGCGTAAGGCTGTGGCACGCTGCCATGCCAATCTTCAGTGGATGCAAATCAATAGTCAATAATCAATAGGTCGTTAAGAGCCCGCGCGGGTCTTTTACGCCGCTCGAAGAGTCTACTCCCCATATGACCTGGTTTGTGTTCTACCTTCAAGTCCAGTGGATCTCCAGCTAACTCAGCATCCAGCAGGGTAAGACTGTGGCATGCTGCCGTGCTTATCTTCAGCGGGTGCAGGTCGTTAAGAGCCCGTGGGTCTCTCCCAGGATCCCATTCTAGAATCTTGCTGCCTCGACGGCCGTTAGATTTGGGTGCTATACTTGCTGTGAACTGCTCAAAGGCACTCCGTCGGGCTATGACAGCGACTAGTTTGTGTGTCCTACCTTCAAGTCTAGCGGATCTCCAGCTAACTCAGCATTCAGTAAAGCAAGACTGTGGCATGCTGCCATGTCTATATTCAGCGGGTGCACACGAGTCTCTCTAGATCCCATTCGAGAATCTTGCTGCCTACTAGCTATGAACTGCTCAATGGCACTCTGTCGGACTATGAAAGTGACTCTAGCTTGTGTGTCCTACCTTCAAATCCAGCGGATCTCCAGCCAGTTCTGCATCCAACAACGTAAGACTGTGACAAGCTGCCATTCCTATCTTCAGCGGGTGTAGATCGTTAAGAGCCCTCGGGTCGCGGAGCGCGCGCCCCAGAAGAGCTGGTTGTGTTGCGGTGCTTGATGGGACTACGCCCCACATGTCACAAAGGCCTTCCCCAAGGATTTTGTGGTAACAACCGGGCCTTTATTACCCACCTCCATGTACCTCTCGCGACTTTCACCAGATCATCGGTTCACTAAGTAAAAGGCCGAAAGCTATGCGCCCCACCCACTAGTGTATGTCCTACCTTTAAGTCCAGTGGATCTCCAGCCAGTTCAGCTTCTAACAGCGTCGCCGCCATGCCGATCTTCAGCGGATGCAGGTCGTTAAGAGCCCTTCTTGGGTCTCTTACGCCCCTCGAAGAGTCTACGCCCCATATGACCTAGTGTATGTCCTACCTTCAAGTCCAGTGGATCTCCAGCCAGCTCTGCGTCTAACAATGTAAGACTGTGGCACGCCGCCATTCCTATCTTCAGCGGGTGCAGGTCGTTAAGAGCCCGTGAATCTCTCCCAGGAGCGCATTCCAGAATCTTGCTGCTTCATCGAGCGCCAGATTACTCCAGGTATTTCTTGTGACCTTCACCAGATCGTCGGTCCACTAAGTGAAAGGCCCCGAGAACTTTTCGGCCTCAATAGCCATCAGTTCTAGGAGTTATGTGCCACACCCACTGCCACTTAAGAAAGTCATATGAGCTGGTGTATATCCTACCTTCAAATCCAATGGATCTCCAGCCAGTTCTGCATCCAGCAGAGTAAGACTGTGACACGCCGCCATTCCTATCTTCAGCGGGTGCAGGTCATTAAGAGCCCTCGGGTCGCGGAGCGCGCGCCCCAGATGAGCTGGTTGTGTGGCGGTGCTTGATGGGACTACGCCCCACATATCACAAAGGCCTTCCCCAAGGATTTTGTGGTAACAACCGGTCCTGCGCTGCCTGCTTCTAGGTACTTCCTGCGACCTTCGCCAGATCGTCGGTTCACTAAGTAAAAGGCCGAAAGCTATGCGCCCCACCCACTAGTGTATGTCCTACCTTTAAGTCCAGTGGATCTCCAGCCAGTTCAGCTTCTAACAGCGTCGCCCTCGCCGCCATGCCGATCTTCAGCGGGTGCAGGTCGTTAAGAGCCCTTGGGTCTCTTACGCCGCTCGAAGAGTCTACGCCCCATATGACCTGGTGTATGTCCTACCTTCAAATCCAGTGGATCTCCAGCCAGCTCAGCATCCAACAACGTAAGACTGTGGCAGGCCGCCATTCCTATCTTCAGCGGGTGCAAGTCATTAAGAGCCCTTGGGTCCCTGGCACCGATCGCGAAGTTACTACGCCCGGTTTGTGTCCTACCTTCAAGTCCAGTGGATCTCCAGCCAGTTCAGCATCCAGCAGGGTAAGACTGTGGCACGCCGCCATTCCTATCTTCAGCGGGTGCAGATCGCTAAGAGCCCTTGGGTCTCTTACGCCGCTCGAAGAGTCTACTCCCCATATGACCTGGTTTGTGTCCTACCTTCAAGTCCAGTGGATCTCCAGCTAACTCAGCATCAAGCAGGGTAAGACTGTGACAAGCTGCCATGCCGATCTTCAGCGGGTGCAGGTCGTTAAGAGCCCTTGGGTCCCGAAGCGCGCGCCCCAGATGAGCTGGTTGTGTTGCGGTGCTTGATGGGACTACGCCCCACATATCCAGACCGTCTTCCGTGAGAGTTCCCGTCTGGGGACAACGTACAGTTGGGTTAGTATTGATGAATCAATTATCAAGTAATCGAACATGCTTTCCCGCTTTCCTTATGAACGGTTACAGACTATCGATAGTATGGACAATTTCTTGGTCAAACCTTCTATTTCTTAGGCCCGATTCGACCAAACTTTAATCCGAGAATAACTCCTGGTATAACTGGCACATTGATAGTTTCAGTATGGGAAATGTGTCAAAATTTCGAATAACTGACGATTTATTCTGAGATTAATATTTATTTACTTTTGTTTGGTCGAATCCAATGGTTGACAATACGAGTATAACCTCAATAATGGAAAATAATTAGTCTTTCGATTTTATTATTTCTGATAATAAACGATTAATGGCTTATTTTCAGACCTATTGAAACTATCGATCTAATCACAGTTTAAAACTTCTAAGACAACCTTGGCATTTTTGTCCCAGGTATTAATGTCCAGTCTTAAAATCACTGCATGTATCTTACCTTGTCAAAACAGATGCAGTCTAGCGAGCCACTGACGTTGACAGCTCTAGTGTTGAGACACGCCACTCGCGCGCGCTTCAGCCGCGTGACAGCGTACAGCCGGCCTACCGTCATGGCCGCCGGCAGTGCCGGAGGAATCACGATCGTGATGATGTCCAGAGCTTTTAAGGTTATGTCGCCGGGAGTCAGGGATCTGTACGCCTGGGGGTGATAATAAATGCTGTATGTCAGGGATGGCGAACCAATGGCACGCGTGCCATTGATGGCACGCGCCACAATATTTAGGGCACGCCCACCTATCACAAAATTCACTATAAAATAATGTGTTTTATATAAGGGCTATCGTATTTGCCCTCATCTGTTAGTGCCACTGTAGAGTAAGGTCCTGTCACTCGCCAGTGGCGCCACTTGTACTATACCCCTCATGATAGCATTAGGTGATATTTGATGGCACGTCTAAGACTATATCAAAGATTTTTTTCGGAAAAAGGGCACGTTGATACATAAAGGTTCGCCATCCCTGCTGTATGTTATAGAAAATAAGGCGCAATTTTGCTAGTACAGTACGGCTAACACGAAAAACTTTCGAGTTTGAATCGTTTGCGTATTCGAATCGCCACCAAAAGATTTAGTACGAAAACTACAACTACACCCTTGTGAACGTGTCGTAAAGTGAACCTAGTATGAGAAATGGTCGCACGAAACTTATTTTGAGAATCAAAATGGTCACATTTTCGTTTAATTCGAAGGTTGAGTATCGAGTTTTGTCGAATACGCAAACGATTCGAAGACGAAAGTTGTTCATGCTAGAGGTACAGTTGCGCAAGCGCAGAGGGTCAAGGATTGGAAATAAACGCTGTATGATATATGTAGTAAAGTGCAATTTAGCTTGCCGGTCTACTATCATGGCCGCCGGCAGTGCGGGAGGAATCACGATCGTGATGATGTCCAGAGCTTTGATGGTTATGTCGCCGGGAGTCAGGGATCTGTACGCCTGGAGATAATAATAAACACCGTATCACTACATAATGTCTGGTCTGCGAGCACGTAGAATTTTTTCCCAAGCTACCCATCCTTATCGCTCGCGCGTAATTATATTGCTGTCGCGACTGTGCGACGGGCGCCCGCAGTGAGTGTGCGAGCGCTCACAGACCGGGCTTTAGTATAAAACAAAGTCGCTTTCCGCTGTCTGTCCTATGTATGCTTAGATCTTTAAAACTACGCAACGGATTTTGATACGGTTTTTTAATAGATAAAGTGATTCAAGAGGACGGTTTATATGTATGTATACGTAGCACCCGTGCGAAGTCAGGGCAGGTCGCTAGTGTTATATAAAATAAGGTGCAATTTTGTTTGCACAGTTGCGCAAGCGCCGGGGGATCACCATTGTTATGATAAAGACTGGGAGTGACAAAATAGAGTATACTATAAAATAAACGCAGAAAGGTCTAATTTAACTTGAACAGCTGCAAATAATGTTGGTCTACAACCTTTCACAAACCACTTAGCCAATACGAGCATTCAAGTGTATATCATATTACTTAGTGCAAAAGGTGATGTTGCTTTGAACATTTCAGACCAGATCTGTTACTTTCTATCATTTGTGGCGTAGTTTGGTACACTGATAAGAGTTGCCAGCAAATACATCATTTATTTATTTCTTAATTCCATAAAGTTGATACATAAGGCGAACTTAATGCCTTACAGTTAACCTTTGGGCTAAAACATTTGGCAGTGAATTTGAAGTGTTAAACATTCGTTGAATTATATTTATTTATTTATTTATTTATTTATATAAGGCACAAATTACATACGTNCGACTGACGAACGCTGCAGTGACGACACGAACTGGTGTTGCTGGACTATACTTATCTCTAGTGGCATCTTCGCTGTTAGTTATCTGTCTCTTTCACACCTGTATCCGGCGGACACAGAATCCGCAGCACTGTCGCGAGATACAAATTAGTTCTGCTGGACCATATACCCTGTTGCTGCATCTTGCTAGTTATATGTCCCTCTCGCACCTGTGTAATATTTAGCTATCTGTCTCTTTCGCACCTGTCTCCGGCAGACACAGGGTCCGCAGCATCTCGGGAGCTCCCTTGCAAAACACACGGAGGACATCTTCTCCCAAGACCCGCGTCACGACGGACGAACGCTGCAGTGACGACACGAACTGGTGTTGCTGGACTATGCCGACTTCTAGCGGCATCTGGTGAGGAAATGTGTGAATTAAAACCTTGGAGAAATTGTTTCAGAATATGTTTATTGCAAAAATTACTATAGTTCGTTTGTTGTAGCATAGTGCGGATGACACCTGTCAAGTTCCATAGCTTTTTCCGATAAAATCTGATAATTAAGGTTGGCTAGCGTAAGAAGTTTAAAGACATGTACATGTCGCAGGCAAATTGTATGATTCCGCATTTTACAAACGGCGTCGTCAGTTTACAAACGCTCGCTGTTCTATGAAATGCCGAAGGCAAATTGGCGACTCGTTCAATTGATAAAATTTCGACTATGATTGTTGCAATAGGGTGACCATCATAAAACACATGTTGGACAAATCAGACTTAATTTCAGAAATCAGGTAGGTATCTATTCAGGTAAGACAAACCTAAAATACTAGCTACTCCTAAAGTAAGTAAAATATTTTCTTAATAAAAACAACACTAAACTAATTTAAACTACTGACGTACGTACCTATAGGTAGGTACATAAAACTATGACATAAAATAAGTTTCGATAGTCAGTCCTTTAATTCTTACATTTTAATTATACCTGGAAGAAGTCTAGAAGACAACACAATATTTTTTTAAACCAATAATATTCCGCAGCAGCAGTTCACCACCAGTCCGAGCACCAGATTCCATTGTCACCTTAGCGTTTTTTACGTGCCGGATAACCTCAAAATCTATTTCATTTTTCCATAGCTATTTCACTGCTCCTATTTATGAATCGTAAAATATTTTTAATTCACTAAGTATAATCAATGTCTTTTTATGTGAAAAGTCCTTTGAATACGTAGAATTTTCACTGTTTTCTGTATCAGAACACCACGACTCGACGCCATTTTTCTTGTTTTGATTAGCAGCGCCTCGCGTGGTAAGAAAAAGAACTAAATACTTCAATTTGCCGCGGCATTTTGTAAACAGCAATTGAATTGGCTATCAAATGTTTTGGCATATTATAAAGTGCCCAGGCAATTTACATTTTGCCTTCGGCATTTCATAGAGCAGCGAGCGTTTGTGAACTGACGACGCCGTTTGTAAAATGCGGAATCATACAATTTGCCTGCGACATACACACGGCCTCACTGTTAACTACCTATTTCCGCTAATATGCTCTCGCTCTCATCCAATGACGATTCTTTGCGATAAAACGAGACGACATGACAGGCAATGGACATTGGACAGTTAACACTGTTGCCGATGGTACATTCTCCATCTACCTTTGGTAAATTAGACAGTCGTGATCCTGTAGTGGAGATTAAATGATACCAGACGATGAAAGTACTTACATTGACGTCATCTACGTTGATATTAGCAGTTTTCTTGGGCTTGACTATCGTCGGAGTCAGGACTTCGTAGTTGGTGGATTCGGGCACATCTGGCTCTTCAAGAGTCCATCCAGTTGACTCAAACATCTGCAATAAGATAAGATAAGATAAGAATCTGCAGAAATCTGCAATGTAAATAACATACGATATTATTATAATATAAGTATTTTTCATATTTGATACGAAGAGGCTGATTTAGTTCATCATCATCATTTCAGCCACATGACGTCCACGGTTGAATATAGGCCTCCCCCAATGATTTCCAAATTGACCGGTTTTAAAGTGGCCAGCATTCGGCGTCTTTTAGCAACCTTTATAAAGTCGCCTTATGAGTCATCACACGCTGCGCTTGCCGATACGTGGTGGCAATCTCAAAACCTTGCTGCTCCATCGGCCGTCAGTTCTGCGAGATATGGACACTCCAAGTGGCAATACCACTTCAGCTTACGAATCCATCGGGCCAATTCAGGCTTTAACAACGCGCGACTGTAGCAAGTGGCCAAGACAATTTTTAGGCAGCGCTCGAAGAAACTACGCTCCATATGACCAGGTGTATGTCCTACCTTCAAATCCAGCGGATCTTCAGCCAGTTCTGCATCCAGCAGCGTAAGACTGTGGCACGCCGCCATGCCGATCTTCAGCGGGTGCAGGTCTTTAAGAGCCCTCTGGTCGCGGAGCGCGCGGCCCAGATGCGCTGGTTGTGTGGCGGTGCTTGATGGGACTACGCCCCACATGTCACAAAGGCCTTCCCTAAGGATTTTGTGGTCCCACGATCACCAGATAGTCGGTCCTCCAAGTGAAAGGTCTCGGGAACTTTTCGGCCACAATATCCATCACTCTACAAGCTATGTGCCCATTGCCACTTAAGTTAGTCCTACCTTCAAATCCAGTGGATCTCCAGCCAGCTCAGCATCCAACAACGTAAGTCTGTGACAAGCTGCCATGCCGATCTTTAATGGGTGCAAGTCGTTAAGAGCCCTAGGGTCGCGGAGAGCGCGCCCCAGATGCGCTGGTTGTGTGGCGGTGCTTGATGGGACTACGCCCCACATGTCACAAAGGCCTTCCCCAAGGTTTTTGTGGTCCCATGATCACCAGATCGTCGGTCCACCAAGTGAAAGGTCTCGGGAACTTTTCGGCCCCAATATTCATCACTCCTACAAGCTATGTGCTCACTGCCACTTAAGTTAGTCCTACCTTCAAATCCAGTGGATCTCCAGCCAGTTCAGCATCTAGTAATGTAAGACTGTGACACGCCGCCATGCCAATCTTCAGCGGGTGCAAGTCGTTAAGAGCCCTCGGGTCCCGAAGCGCGCGTCCCAGATGTGCTGGTTGTGTGGCGGTGCTTGATGGGACTACGCCCCACATGTCACAAAGGCCTTCCCCAAAGTTTTTGTGGTAACAACCGGTCCTGCGCTGCCTGCTTCTAGGTACTTCCTGCGACCTTCGCCAGATCGTCGATTCAAAAAGTAAAAGGCCTCGAAAGTCGAGATCTTTTCTGCCCCAACAGCCAACCTAGGAGTTATGTGCCCCACCCACTGCCACTTAAGAAAGTCATATGACCTGGTGTATGTCCTACCTTCAAATCCAGTGGATCTCCAGCCAGCTCTGCGTCTAACAATGTAAGACTGTGACACGCCGCCATGCCAATCTTCAGCGGGTGCAGATCGTTAAGAGCCCTTGGGTCTCTTACGCCGCTCGAAAAGTCTACTCCCCATATGACCTGGTTTGTGTTCTACCTTCAAGTCCAGTGGATCTCCCGCCAGTTCAGCATCCAGCAGCGTAAGGCTGTGGCACGCTGCCATGCCAATCTTTAGTGGATGGAGGTCAATAGTCAATAGGTTGTTAAGAGTCCGCGCGGGTCTCTTACGCCGCTCGAAGAGTCTACGCCCCATATGACCAGGTGTATGTCCTACCTTCAAATCCAGTGGATCTCCAGCCAGCTCAGCATCCAACAACGTAAGACTGTGGCACGCTGCCATGCCGATCTTCAGCGGGTGTAGGTCGTTAAGAGCCCGTGGGTCTCTCCCAGGATACCATTCCAGAATCTTTCTACCTCATCGGCCTTCAGATTTGGGTGCTATACTAGCTGTGAGCTGCCCATTGCTACTCCGTCGAGCTATGAAAGCGACTCTAGCTTGTGTGTCCTACCTTCAAATCCAGCGGGTCTCCAGCTAACTCAGCATCCAGTAAAGCAAGACTGTGGCATGCTGCCATGTCTATATTCAGCGGGTGCACACGAGTCTCTCTAGATCCCATTCGAGAATCTTGCTGCCTACTAGCTATGAACTGCTCAATGGCACTCTGTCGGACTATGAAAGCGACTCTAGCTTGTGTGTCCTACCTTCAAATCCAGTGGATCTCCAGCCAGCTCAGCATCCAACAACGTAAGACTGTGACAAGCTACCATTCCTATCTTCAGCGGGTGTAGATCGTTAAGAGCCCTCGGGTCGCGGAGCGCGCGCCCCAGATGTGCTGGTTGTGTGGCGGTGCTTGATGGGACTACGCCCCACATGTCACAAAGGCCTTCCCCAAGGATTTTGTGGTAACAACCGGGCCTTTATTACTCACCTCCATGTACCTCCCGCGACTTTCACCAGATCGTCGGTTCACTAAGTAAAAGGCCTCGAAATCTATGCGTCTCACCCACTAGTGTATGTCCTACCTTCAAGTCCAGTGGATCTCCAGCCAGTTCTGCATCCAGCAGCGTAAGACTGTGGCACGCTGCCATGCCGATCTTCAGCGGGTGCAGGAGCCCTTGGGTCTCTTACGCCGCTCGAAGAGTCTTCTCCCCATATGACCTGGTGTGTATTCTACCTTCAAGTCTAAGGGGTCTCCTGCTAATTCTGCATCCAGCAGGGTAAGACTGTGGAACGCTGCCTTGCCAATCTTCAGTGAGTGGTCGTTTAGAACCCACGGGTCGCTGGTCCCGCTCGAAGAGACTACGCCCCATATGACCTAGTGTGTCCTACCTTCAAGTCCAGTGGATCTCCAGCTAACTCAGCATCAAGCAGGGTAAGACTGTGACAAGCTGCCATGCCAATCTTCAGCGGGTGCAGGTCGTTAAGAGCCCTTGGGTCGCGGAGCGCGCGGCCCAGATGTGCTGGTTGTGTGGCGGTGCTTGATGGGACTACGCCCCACATATCTAAACCGTCCTCTGTGAGAGTTCCCGTCTGGGGACAACGTACAGTTGGGTTAGTATTGATCAGTCTTTGCCAAAGTGGGCGATAACGCCCCCTTGTGGGCGCTGCAGGCTTAAAGGGGGGCGGTAAGAGACCCAGAAAAAAAATCGGGACGTTGTTTAGAGGCTTGGGAGGCGTCATCTACTAGGAGGACTCTTAGACATCGACTGAGCTCGACTCTTGACTACAAAAATGGGGGGCGCTAAAAAATACCTTATTACGTAATTAAATAGTTAAGTAACAATAAACATAATAACAACATCTTAAAGACTAAAGAGAACACTGCTCACAAAAGAATTGACAAGTTGACAATATTTTGTGCCAAGGGTCCGCAAATATGTCACAATGAGGGTAATCCTCTTATGATCGATTACAGACTATCGATAGTATGGACAATTTCCATTTCCATGGTTAAATATTTCTTAGGATGAGTTGCACCAACTTACTTTAACATTAACAAACGTCAAAAATCTGTCAAACTCCACACCGATTATCGTTATACTTACTGTCAAAGTAAGGCGGTGCAACTCAGCCTTAGTAGTTATCAATACGAGTATAACCGCAATAATTGAAAATATTAGTCTTTCGATTATTATTTCCGATAATAATCGATTGATGGGTTATTTTGTGACTCATCTAATTACAGTTTAACACTCTTATAGGACAAGCTTGGCATTTTTGCCCCAGGTATTAATACCCAGGTGTAAACCTTTGAAAAAGAGGCTGACAATAGTGACTGAGTTTCTTGCGCTGCTTCTTCTCAGCACTGGCCCATTTGTTGTCCTGAAGCAGTGGTAGGGTTAATACTGGGACGTGTAAAACTGCTTTTTTTAAGCCTATTTACAGAAATAAATGAGTTTCATGAGTTTTTTATAACAACCCAGTCTAAAATCACTGCATATATCTTACCTTGTCAAAACAGATGCAGTCCAGCGAGCCGCTGACGTTGACAGCTCTAGTGTTGAGACACGCCACTCGCGCGCGCTTCAGCCGCGTGACAGCGTATAACCGGCCTACTGTCATGGCCGCCGGCAGTGCGGGAGGAATCACGATCGTGATGATGTCCAGCGCTTTTAAGGTTATGTCGCCGGGAGTCAGAGATCTGTACGCCTAGAGACAATAATAAACACTGTATTGTTAGTTGTGAAAAATCTAAAACGTTAAAATAACGGTATCGTTATAGCCAATGAGCTGCAGTCATAGTGACATTGACGTAATGTCACTCGAGAAACGTTAGAATAGAGGGACGCGCGTAGACGACGCCTTGCGCTTTTGGTGCTAAGTGATAAATTGTATTTAAAATGAGGCAAAATAATGTGAAAGTTGAGTGTCCAGTGTTTTATGTATGAGAATAGATCTACCAGCATCTGAAAGTATGTTATGTAAAATAAGGTGCAATTTAGCTTTTACAACTGCACAAGCGCCGAGGGCCAGAGAACGGTACGCCTGAGATTAGTAATAAACGCTTTATGATATTCACAACACCCTGACAGTATGTAGTAAAGTGCAATTTAGCTTGCCGGCCTACTGACATGGCGGCCGGCAGTGCGGGAGGAATCACGATCGTGATGATGTCCAGAGCTTTTAAGGTTATGTCGCCGGGAGTCAGGGATCTGTACGCTTAGAGGTGAAAATAGATGGGGGTAATAAAAAAGGATGGGCATTGCAATTTCGTATGAACACCCGCATAACTAAAGTTCGTTTACAACCTTTTATAAACAACACGACTCTTCGTTCGTTTTAGCTAAAAGAAATCCACTCGCTTATAGTTCAACGACAAAACTATGACACCCGGACGCCAACTTGTATCTTGTTTCGATTTCTACTCGCTTCTCATTCGTCGTGTGCGGTAGTCTTGATGTATATGTTACAGTCAAAACTCATAATCGGTCAAAACCACTTTTGACTGCGAAAATCAGTCAAACATATACTATGCGCAGGAGATACCATCCAGCCGCCGTTACATCCTAGTATTCACAAACGATGCTTGCTTGAGTGAAGCAGCAAATTGAACGCACAGCGTTGAATAGAGCTCTGTGATTGGTTCGTGTGTCACCCTATGCGTCCACGCGCACTGTGAGACCTCATAGTAATGTTTGTAAATAAGTGCGTAAGACAGTTTATTGACAACAAGTAAGGAGCGGCGCCGCGTATGTAGTCTCTAGCAAAAACATTTTCATTGGACTTTAAACCTTATTGTAGCGCAATAAATTCGTTTATGGTAATCCACCTTGAGAGCCACAGTGTAGGCCAATCCGATGAGCGCGATGACGGCAAGTATGAAGATGAACTTGTAGGAATCCCGGTCGAATTTGAAGTCTGCCGGTGCAGGGTATAAAATACTGCGTACTAGCTGACCCTTGCTCGTGTTGTATCCGGTTCGAAGGACCAACGCTCTGGGGACATTAAATGAATATCATCATCAGGTCATTATCTACTTAGTAGCTACGAAACGTGAGGTTAATGGGACTATTATAGATCTGGCGCTTAATTCAGCCAGTACCTGAGGTTTGGAAGGCGCACGGGAGGCTGTTTTTGAGACGTCAAACGTCAGTGAGACTTCAGCTAGGCTTCTGATTTGTATACTCTGTCACGTCATTATGTCAATGTCACTGGGCCGCTCCCATACCTCAGACACTGACCGAGTTAAGCTTTGTGCCATACAAATTTTTAGTCATTTGTTTGTGCCAACCAGTGAAGTCATATAGGCTTAAAATGGGGGCCAAATATAAATGGGAGTATCACATATTAACAGCTCCAAACAGTATGTCAATGTTTCTATATCTACCCTACCTACAGGTGAGCTGATGTCTTCCCTACTAGACGCAGTGCCATATTAATTAGAGGTCCTTGGCTGCCGGACGCCTGATAGTTTTAAAATTGCATAATACAATTATTTCTCACTAACCTAACCGGTTCGTTGTTGTAGTACCGCGTCTGTATGACCTTGGTCCCGCAGAACAGGATGCTGGACGAGTGTTCCTTCATGTCAAAAGGGCGATCCGTTCGCAGGAGCGCTGTCTTCGTCACTGGGACTGATTCACCTGCGACAATAATAAATATATGAACTCGACTATTATTATTTATTATAGCTCGATTATATCACTAATGCTGTTAAAAAACCACCAATGTCACAAGGTCGCCAATGTCATATCGTCACCGCTGTCACAGACCATCCAATGTCATAGTCTCCTATGTCACAGACGAACCAATGTCATAAAGACTGCTGACCCAGAGTAGCCAATTTTCACAGACCTACCAATGTTACGAAGCGAAGCCGCCAATCTTATAGAGCCATCGCTGTCACAGAGCAGCCAATGTCACGGAGAAATCATTGTCACAGATTCGCCAATGTCACCGACCTGCCATTATTACAAAGTAGCCAATGTCACTTAGTAGCCGTTGTCATTTGTTACCGATCAGCTGCTGTTATAGAGCCGTCTATTGTCAAAATGCCACCGCTGTCACACAGCCACTAATATCACAGAGTAACCAATGTCACAGAGCAGCCACTGTCCTGCTTCTATCAGAGTTACCACTAACCAGTGAGCATGCTCTCATTGAGTACGGCGGCGCCTGTAAGCAAGACCGCATCTAAATGCATGGTGCACCCATGGCGCGGGATCACGATGACGTCACCAGGTGCCACCGCACGACTGTCAACCGTTCGACCGTCCCATAACTCTACGGTGTCATACGCTTCGACGGTCGCTCGGAGGTTTTGCTGGTTCTGGGAAACAAAACAATATATTTTTAATTCAGGGTAGAAAAGTTCTCGAGTGGTGAACACACAGCAGCCATTTTAATTTGTAACATTGCCGCCAATATCACAGAGCAGTTAATGTGACAGAGCAGCCCATGTTACAGAGCAGCCATTGTGACATTGCCGTCAATGTCACAAAGCAGCCAACGTTACAGAGTAGCCATTGTGATATTGCCACCAATGTCAATGACGACCAGCCATTGTGACATTGTCGCTAATGTCACAGAGCAACCATTGTGACACTGCAGCCAATGTCACAGAGCAGTAATGACACACTGCAATCAATGTCACAGTGCAGCCAGTGTCACAGAATAGCCAATGTCACAAAGTAGCCAGTGTGATATTACCGCTAATGTCACAGACCCACCAATATAACATGGCCGCCAATGCCACAGACTCACCAAAGTCTAATAAAAAAACATTAAACCTACCTTCTTAGTCTGTATAACGGACGTGGCCACACCAAACGTGGACATCAGCACCACCGCTATACAGTAGTAGTAGTACGGCTCTGCCAACCACACGGCAATAGTGAACAGTTGGAACACGTAGAAAGGGTTGAAGACTTCCAACAGGATGAGGGTTAGGATGGACTGGACCGGCACTTTGATCTCGTTGAGCCCGTAGATGTTTAGCCTGGGAAGGTTAAAAATAGGTTATGAACTAAAAGGGAGAAGGGAATCGTCTAGTGAAGTTCAGTCGGAAATTTAGGTTGAATCGACCAAAGTTTATAATAATACACATTATTATCGACTTCTACTGCTGGCCACAGGCGAAAAAATGTATTCGTCCACCCTCTGTGTGCTGTGGCTCCCAACCTGAAGTTTATAAGCCCCTAGTGGTGGTCTGATCCCTAGATAGGATTGGTATAATATCTACTCAGAGGCGGACGCGATACCTACTCTTTAGACGGCCCCCAAGACTTGTAGGTGCGAACACGTGGTCCCACATAGGCCGAGCCTGCCCCTGTGTGGCCCGGCTCGAAGACAGGCGTCCTGTAGTGTGTAGCTATGCAACTCAAAGAGTCTGTCTACTCACAGGCGGACGCGGCGCTCGCTAGAAGGCGCACGAACTCTAAAAGGCTAATGATTGTGCCCACCTGGCCCCACACTGACCCTAAGTCTTCCCCAAAGCCCGCGCTCAGAGCCTAGCGACATATAGAGTGCAGTTAAGCAACACAAAGGGTTTATCTACTCACAGGCGTACGCGGCGTTCGCTAGAAGGCGCGCGTGCTCCCAAAGCTTGTAGGTAGTTGTGCGCACGTGGCCCTACATTCAAGGCCCGCGAGTCGCGCCCAGTGCGCGCGCAGCGAGTCCCATATGAGAGACTGCTTCTTGTGCCGAAAGTAATTGGACGTATGCAACGATATTAATGCCACAAGGGGCCAGGGGTCCTGTAGAGTGTAGCTTATCTACTTACAGACGGACGCGGCGCTCGCTAGAAGGCGCACAGTCTCCTAGTGCCTGTAGAAGCGCGCAAGTGGCCCCACACTGACCCGTAAACCTGTGTGTAACTAAGCGACTTACAGTCGGACGCGGCGCTCGCTAGAAGGCGCGCGGGCTCCCATAGCTTGTAGTTGTGCGCACGTGGCCCCACATTCAAGGCCCGCGAGACGGGCCCAGTGGGCGCGTAAAGAATCCCATATAAGAGACTGCTTCTTATGCCGAAAGTAGCGGTAGTGTTGGACGTCTGCAATGATATTAAATCGTTGTTGTTGCACCACGATACAATCTTAAAGCCAATTTTAAATGACTTTATGGGCTTATGGTCGAAAATCGGTAAAATACCGCGATAAGATATCGTGGCTTATGGTCCTAGCCCTAGGTAAAACAAAGTTAAACTTGTGAAGAGCCACCAATTAATTTCAGCGAATCTTGGGTCCTGGAACTTGTACATAATTTAAATCAATCAATATTTGGGCATCTTGACTAGAAAATAAAGTTTTTAAGACGGTATTTAAGTACTTAGGTTTTACACATAATGCTTGATGTTAAACATAAATGAATCATTTAATACTTACTGAGAGAGGAGCCATCATCCAATATAACTGGGGTATGCAGGACGTCAGGGCTCTCAATTGTAGTTTTTTCACCTTTTTCTTCATCGTGGAAGCCCTCATTAAGTAGACCACTGGAAAAATAATTAAAACTTTAATGACAACTACAGGAAACAGTAAATTATCAAACTACAGGTCTAGCGATTAACTAAGGCCCAGAACAGATGGTGAAACGCAACTGCAACGAAACTGCAACTGCTAGTTACTTTTGAGTTGCATCTAAGTTTCTGCCATTTCCGTTGACAGACCACACATGACGCGACCAGTTTGAAACTTTCAGTTTCAGTCTTTTTTTTTTTAATACACAACGAGGAAGCTCTTGGCCTGTATCTCACCTGATTATACCTGATAGTTTCATTCATCAGAATCTTCAGATAGTTGCAGTTTCGTTGCAGTTGCGTTTCACCGTCTGTTCTGGGCCTAAGACAGTGCTTGAGGTATGGAAGCGGCACGGGAAGGTGTTTTTGAGACGTCAAATGTCAGCGAGACTTCAAATTTGTATGCTCGGTCACATCAATATATCAGTCACCCCTTTCGTGCCGCTTCCACATTTCAGGCACTGACTAAGTTAAACGCACATACAAAGATATACAGGGTGTCCCAAAAACAATGGATAACCCGGATGTTTTAAGGTAATGGGCACGATGGTCTTCCTACATTTTTTTTACACGTTGGCTGATCAAAAGTGCAAGACAATGAATTAATTTTTCCTTCTTCTCTGCAATTTCTTAATATTTTCATACTTTTAAACTAATTTGTTGAACTTTAATCTTTTCTTTAGATAGCCCAACTATCCCTTCTGATAAGGGAAAAAACTAGATTGAAAAGTATCCTCATTTGTAGTAATGGCATGAGAAAAAGTAATCGCAGGTGGCAATTTTCTAGAAATGCACAAAAACTTAAAAATCTTGAAAACGGTGATATTTTTACTGGGGTCAAAATTGGACGTTAGGGAGACCATGGCGAGGCCTATTGATGGTTACAGGGTTATCTATTGTTTTTGGGACATCCTGTATGTATTGCGAAATAAATTTCACTTTGGAGAATTGGACTCAATAAGAGAGAAACCATACAAACCTTGTATCTGCAATGTTTTTCTCCAATATTTTATGAATAAAATAATCTTTGTGCTTCTTTTGGTAGGTTTCCTGTAAGTAATAAATTATGCATGTAGCATTGTGGGTTTAAACCACACCTGTTAAATATTACTTAGTACTAAAGATATTATCAGGTTTATGAGTGAACATAAAAATTATCGTAAAGTAAAAAACTAAACACAATATTCTAAGTTACTTAACACATGCATGATAGTGTTAATAAAAAGTTACACCCTAGTTAACACTGTTTTAAAGTGACTTTTAGTATGAAATCAACTGGGGTGTAACTTTTTATGAATAAGGCATATTCATTCATATTGTAGGCTCAGCTATCTCCAGTGTCAGTGTAACGTGCTAATTTTGGGACAAATAATAATATTCTGTTTTAAAATTCTGCACGAAAATAAAATGTTGCCTATGGCTACAATAAAAATAACTCACAACAACCAAAACTTGATCAGCTAACTGGAAGCAGCTCCTCGTGGAAGTCAAATACAGGAACCAGGTGGGACACCAGTGGAACAACAGGAACGGGATCCCACACGTCAGGACGGAGCAAAAGTACACCAGCACCGTCCGCCATCGGCTTTTACGGTAACCATACACCACCTGGTAAAAAATTCGAATAGTTAAAGCCAGAGTAGCGGCAGAGTAAATAATATGCGGCGCGCACGCACACACTGACAAAATTTAGCGTGGATTAGCAGTGAGGTGCGCTGAATTTTGTCAGTGTGTGCGTGCGCGCCGCATACGTATTGGCGCGCGCTCACATACAAACCGCGCTCGGTGCGTTTCTATGAAGATGACCTACTCATTTGTATTTACTCTGGTAGCGGAGGATAGAGCTGATTGGAAGGAGCTGGAGGAGGCCTGTGCCTATAGGCACCAGTGGCGTAACTATAGGGTGACAGGAATGGCAGGGCTGGCAAAATTCAACGGGCCCCCGACCCGAGGGAGCCCCGGCCCAAGACCCTAACCGCAACCCCCCACCCCCTCGCGATACTTCAGGGCGATGGTCCTAAGTAGGGTTGTAAAGTCGAGCCACAGAATAATATGAAGCGCACGCATCAGGATGTTGGGCAACCGATGATGATTGTACTCACTTGTGAGCTACTATGCCACATGTCCGGCATTTAGGGGGGTAAAATGTCCGGCCAAATGAAGCACAGAGTCCAGTCCAGAGCCTTTTGCGTTTTTGGACCTGGCAACCCTAGTCCCAGGGCCCCCCTGAAAAATAACCTTAGATACGGGCCTCGGATGGTATAGTTACGCCACTGATAGGCACGCCAAATTACGAGACATACTCTAATTCTGAAGAGAAAGGCTTATTATTAGTTCCAGAGTCATCACTTAGTGGCTTTTTTTCTGTGTAGCGAATTTCGGCATGCGTTTAATCTGCATTTACGGGCTGCTCACATTTTATTATTTCACACATATTTTCCCTATTATGTGGGCTTTACAAAAGGCACTAACAGAAAGTCTGTGCTAACTGTGGCTTTACTTTATAATAACAGGGAAGTTCTTGTTCTTCTTTGTAACATTTATCATAACAAAAAACCTTTAAATTTAAATACCTATAAAAATTTAACTTAGGTATAACATTCAGTCATTTGGATTTAAGCAGGATGTGTTCAGAGATATTAACATAATGGGTATTATCCCTACATTTTTAACTTCATTTCATACTATAATGTCACTATTGAGGAATTGTAAATTAAAACTAATTGTTATTACTAATAGATTAGGGTTTCAAATTGCATTTTTATATTCATTAGGTACAATAACTGTTATATCGGCTTATCATAACTTCAACCGTTGCAGTGACACACAATCGTACATGTGTGACACACTTATTCAGTTGATCCAACTTGTTAAATAATATTATTATCATGTACAAACATTATTTTTTTAATCTACTTTTGCATTAATATAGGATGTCCTAAAAATAGTATCAAGCATATATATAGCATGAAATACTTTAATATTAAAAAAAAACAAAATTTAATTTAGTTTTTAAGTTTAATATTATATTTTATGTTAAAATTTTAACTACATTAAATTAGTGATTTTAGGTACTTATTGAAGCACTCCAAAACTAAACTTTAGCTTAAAAATAGTGTATCGGACAACCTTTCTACTTAAGTGAAAGCTAAATTTCAATGTTTATAACTTATAAAACAACACTTCTCCGTAACAGGTTAAGGAAATCAATTAAACAAAGAATACACACAATAATTACTTACTTCTTTAGGTAGATAAACTTTTTTTCAAGGTCATATTGCAACAAGCAGAAAAAAATCAAACTTTATTCATCACATCTAAGAATATTAAGATTTTTAGCACAAATGAAACATTACCTGCTCATACTCCGGGTCCACATTAATATTCTGCACGTTCAACCCCAGAAATAGGTCCCTGTTTCCATTAGATACATCTTCAATCAGAGGGACAATATCATCCTCCGACTCCATACTTTCAACTGACCAATACAAGCACTACTGAACCAAAACTACTTCTACGTAAGCAAATGCAACTAGCACTAATTTAAAACCTCATTCTAACTTTATTCAACACTTGAACTATTATCTTTTATTGATATCCATTGTATGGCAATAGAAACAGCATGAACTGATATTTTACCAATGGGCTAAGTTATTACCGTCATTCGGTTGAATCACGGTTGCATTGTAGCTTAGCTCTTTGAGGCATTATTGTTATTTATCATCAAAATTGCTCAAACAAAGAGAAAAATTACACTTTGAAAACACTTTGGCTAAGGTAAAGTTGGAAACAAATGTCATTTTATTTTAACGTTCCGTGCGATGTCATGTCATACCGTTACGTTATTGCTAAATATGTAGAAAAAATATTTTAGTAAAAAAAGTTTTAAAAAATTTAGTTTTTTTTAACTAAACAAAACATTAAAATACAAGCGTGTTTACGAGGCTACAATGCTAACTGCATTTCTCCACTTCCTATTATGGCTATAAAATAATTTAATTTGTTAAATAAAAAACTTGAATAAAATAAGTTGCTGGATTTAAGGGTAGAATAGAAAAGTTCTCGGGGGTAAACCACAGACAGGAACTACCAGAAGATGTAGTGTGTGTGAGCCGATCTCCCACTAGGTGGACTGACGATCTAAAGAAGGTCTAAGGAAATACCTTTCGACGCGGTAATCATTGGGGGAGATCTTTGTCCAGCAGTGGACGCCATTTAGCTGAATCAAGCGAACGAAAGAAAATAAAATTTATTAATACTCACAGTTTCAATATCATTCGTGGTTATGTATTGTTCCATGCTCAAAGTCATTTTTGAAATTTTTTAAGTCGTTTTTCAAATCTGAAACAGAAAAATACATTAAGGTTAAACAAATTATTTTCTATAAAGTAATACCGATAAACCGTTATTTACCACGACACATAAAAAACTGTCTAGCTAGTCTGTGGCCGTTTGTTCCATTCAATCGTTAAAATAGCACTGTCTGTCAGACAGTTGTCAAATTGACTTGCGTGTTTGTGTCGTGAGAGGATTTATTTGTTTCTTTTCCATTATCTTAATAAAAGTAAGTCATATTTTGTAGGCATTCATTGCAATATATCAAATAAAATACCACACACAAGTCTAAATTACATAGACACCACCAGTAGCGAAATCATGTTTTTCCATAACCTCCAAAGTTGTTGTTGTTACTTTCAGTGCACAATATTTCAATAATTTTCTTAATATTACAGGTTTATATGCCAAAATGATCATTCCCGTGCGTTGCTTTACCTGTGGGAAAGTTATTGGCAACAAGTGGGAGGCATACCTTGGGCTCCTACAGGCAGAATACACAGAAGGGTGAATATTTACTTTATAATATTTCGTACTTAGCCAAAACACAGTATATAAATCTGTATTTGGTTTATAAACACTAAGCGATTTGGCTTAAAAGTCCCAGGAGCAGGATTATTCCAGGTTGTACAATATCAATGTTGTTGGCATAATATTTTGCAAAGTAAAGCTAAATAAGTTTTAACATTTCTCTGAAGAAAACTCTTGTAAGATTTTAAATTGTAATAAATATTTTATCAATTGCTTCCCAATATTTGTCTTTAACTGTAGATTTAATGATGGAAGACAATTCGACAAAATTAAAAGTTCGGAAACAGTACTCAGGCTTGATATAAAATTATGTACAAATGACAAAGAAATAATTATTAAAGTCTTTGTTTGCATATAATATGTTGATATACAGGTCCTTATTTTTATTAGTATCATAAGTAGTTATAATATTGGTGCTATTTTCACATAATAATGTGTTAAACACAATTGCTTATGGATTAAAGAAAAATTAATTCATGATTTGATTTTTTATTAACAAAAATGACCAACAGGATGTGTCATGCTATTATTGGTAAATAATTTAACTAAAAATCTACTTAATAAGTAATACTATTTAGTTTTTGCCTTCATTTCGATTTTTAAATTTATTGATCTTTAAATGCAATAAATAATTTGAATTTAAATTATGTAAATCTTAAATCAGAGAAAACGAGGCAATGATTGTAACAATGATATTATGTACTACTAGACAAGCATTACAATAACTAATTGATCATCAGTGTGACATCATTATGTGAACCCAATTACATAATTCTTTTGTTTGAATCTTACTAATGTACCTACGTACACACACATACATAAAAATCTGAATAATATGTGTACTGACCTTTCAAATGTATGAAGTAGGCTTAGCCTTAGAGCAAGCTGCTACATCATTTATAATTATCTGTGTTAGTATATTCTGGCCAAATGGATTTTTAATCTCTGTAAATTGTTGTGAATTATTCATACATCAAGAGACTAGGTTTTTTGTAACATTTTTAGGTGCACAAGAATAAGAACAGCAATAATTTGTCTCAGTTTTTATTAGACCTATTTTACTAATAAATCTTTGTATTACTTTTTGTCTTTACAATGCTTTTTAAATTTAAAAAAACGTCTGCCTTATCCTGGCTTCGATTTCATCATACTCATATACTCACATATCTTTATTGAGAGACTAGCGGCCGCCCGCGATTTCGTACGCGTAGACCCCGTTTTACTCCTTATGGGTGGAGTTTCGTAAAATCCGTTCTTAGCGGATGTCTACACCCTATAAGGAATCTAACTGTCCAATTTCAAGTTGTGTGTGTAATAGTTACTGAGATTTCGTGATTAATCAGTAGTATTTCGCTGCACACTTTTTCACCTCATTGTCGTTTATTTCAATCAAATTATTTGCCCGAGTCAACAAGCATTTAACCTTAACGGTGCCTATTTCTTGCGCATGAGTACAATAATACACTAGCGCGTCATAAACCGACGCTCTTCAGTTGTAAAACCATCATTACCCTTATCTTTACAACTTTGAGAATGTTTGCGTGCTGAGTTTTCTAAGAAATAATATACTTTGCACCTATTCGTATATTTTATGTTGCTCTAATTAAGCATGACTTATGTCATTTTAACACTTTGGGATTCCATCCAGTTAAGTACCATTTCATCATGCAAGAGGTAGAAGACCGTTCTACAATTCTTTTGGAAGCTCTACTTGGGCGTACCCAGCCACAAGCCGTGCTGGGCATTTTAGCTCAAAGAGGGAAGGGGGTAAATAAGATTTTTAGGCAGACTCTCCCCCTAGGGTTGCCAGGTCCAAAAACACAAAAGCCGGACTCGGTGCTTAATTTGGCCGGACATTTTACCCTAAAAGCCGGACACGCCTTTTTTGCACGGGGGGGGGGGTGCAATTTTTATCATACATAGTCATTACACTCATGCATGAGTGACTAAGTACTATCATCTTCGAATCGGTAGCCCAACATCTTGATACGCGCATGTGTGCTTTCGACTGGCCACATAAAAAGCCTAACAAAAGCCGGACAGGCCGGACAAAATAATTTTTGGCCGGACAAGTCCCTAAAAAGCCAAACATGTCCGGCTAAAGCCGGACGCCTGGCAACCCTATCTCCCCCACACTTAGACACAAATACGAAACGAGGTGGATTGGGGTGTGAACTCCTCAGGGAGGACAGCTGCCCATTTTCTCTCGCTCTCGTTTTTCAGTTACAGTGTAGAAGACTAATGATCTGTTCCTCTAGACAAGTGTCAAAACGTGACTGTTGTAATTTCCTTCGCTCCGTTTTTTTGTATGGAGTTACGTCGCCCCGTGAACGATTAAAAAGAGCTACTTGTCTAGGAGAACCGATGATAATGAAATGACAATATCTTGTCTTTAGAGTTCACTGCTTAGTCCCGTTGAGTGAAATGACTTATTGATTACATAAATGACTGATGACTTTTATTGGTTGCAGTGACGCCCTGGACGCCCTCGGCCTGAAGAGGTACTGTTGCAGACGAATGCTGCTAGGCCACGTGGATCTGATCGAAAAACTTCTCAACTACGCGCCCTTGGAGAAATAGTAATTTGTTTAATTATGTTATTAGTTTTAAAATTTAATTTAAGGACATGAAATATATTTTTAAGGCAATCTAAATGTGTTTTCAATCATCATTCTAACTCTTTTAGTAGGTAATATGATTAGCCGTGAGTGTAGGACTTGTGTTTTAACGAAACGGTGCCTTTAGGTACCTTTAAAATGCTTTTAGGATAACATTGCATAAAACTGCATAGTCAGTTCGGACTTCAAAAACCGCAAACCTGCCCAATAAAAATATAAACCGTTTTGATTACGTTTTGACATTTAAGATCAATAAAGCTTGTGGTTGCCACAACTGGAGGGAATCCCTCAGAACAGCTTCCCTGTTTGTGTGGTTCGGATTTTGTCGTACTTATACGGGGACTTACCAATTTCGAAATTAATAACTTCTTAGGCTTTAAACATGAGAGCTTAAACTAGGCTTGAGGAAAATCGTGACGCAATTTGCGCAGGCGTCGCGCCCTTGTAACATTTTTGCTTGTTGCAAATCCTTCGTTGTCTAATAAAACATAAATCATTCCTTTCTTGTACTTTTTTGGCAATTCTCTGACTACTAATTAATTTATTGTGAATCCATTTACAGGGGTCTTACTTTTTACTGGTATAGGTGCTGTGCTCTATCTAAACTAGGTTTAGTTGGGAGGGGGATTATAATCATCATTTCAGCCACAGGACGTCCACTGCTGAACATAGGCCTCCCCCAATGATTTCCACAATGGCCGATTGGTGGCGGGTGGCGGCCTGCATCCAGCGCCTTCCCGCTACCTTCATGAGGTCGTCGGTACACCTTGCGGGTGGACGTCCTACGCTGCGCTTTCCGGTACGTGGGGATTATAATTAGCTATTTTTAAGGGGTTCGCTGTCACCTGGAAACTTTCAGGGGTTCGTGTAGCCGAAAGTTTGAGAAACCCTAATCTATTATACTATAGATTCTATAGCAACAAAATATTTAAATTCCACAGCTTAGGTGTTACTTAAGCGTCTAATCTTTATAAAATCTATATAACTGTCTGTTTGCGATCTTCTCTTGCAAAACGTAAATATTTTTACGATGAAATGTAAGGTAGGTAGTAACGTAGGCGGGGGTTACCCCTGTCTCTTAAAAATGATTTTGATAACTCATCGAACCGTCCATCGCCATTCAATGTAAATGAAGCAGGAAGGCTAAATTGTGCCTCAATAATGCCAATCTTGTTCTGGGTCTCAAGTTTATACAGAAAAACATATCTCATTGAATTTAAATTTTTTAAATCATCACGGTTGTTACTGTCGTTGCTTTTATTTTTCAATTCAGATAAGTCCAGGCTATAGTCCAATAAAAAGCACAGCATTTAAATATGCAAAAATGTGTGCGGTCAAAGACTATTTTTTATAGAACACATGAACATTATCCGTTTCTTGACATCATCGGTTACAAAAAATGCAATTTGCAATCAAACCTGAAACTGCGTTCGAAGAATCTACCACACACCGGTTCCTAAGCGGTTTCTCTAAAGGTCAAAGATGCATCAGGACTATTTTGAGACTAAAACCTAGGTACATTTAGTACATTTTGCAAAGTACTGAATCCAGTCAGAACCTGTAAATCAAGTTGTCTAATAACGATTTACTTATAGCTCTCAACTTGATCGTGGGTGACCTAACGTTAGCTCAGATTCTTATGCAAGAAAGTTTTTTGGGCAATAGGTATAAAAAGAATACCCATTAATCACTTTTTTAGAGTTGTAGGAGCACAGATTTAATAGTAAAATCGGTCTTCATCTTTTGTCGAAGGTCCGACAAAATAATCTAGAATCCTCGGAAAGAGAGACATCTCCCATTAATACCTGACCTGAATAGTTGAGAGAGAACACTCTGTACTCAACGAAGAACATAGCGAAAACAGAATACGTCCAAACGAATATGCCGAAACAAGAATTTGTGTCCCATCAGGAATACGATGAAAAAGGAATTAATCTAACACCCCAGTAGGCCTAGGACGCGCGCCGCCATAAGCGTTTATCACGCCATTTTATTTGCCCATACATTTGTCGTCTAATATCATCGATTAGATTTTATCACGGTGCGTATCCTAGCCCGGCTGGACTATTATTTCGTGGCACTGAGGAAGAAGCCTCTATTTGTTAAGCTGTTGTTACTTATGGGAAGCTAAGTCATGGATGATTCTGCCAAAATCCGTAAAAAATCTAACTTTTCATTTTTTCTTCATTTTCAGCTCGTTTCAAGACACCTTTGTACCAGTGAATTATGAAGACAAAAGTCCCCTCCATAAATATGTTTGTCTAAAGAAATTATTACACGCCAATTATGTCGGGGACAAATTACCATAATCCTTCCTTGTCCAGTCATGTAAAGCTGCGTGCTCAAATTTGTATTAAGAGCCAGCAGCGAATGGTTAACCCATGAATGGAGATAGTCGTATTTTGTTTTACCTGCGATGAACTGAACTTTAAACATCCTATGCCCAACTCCGATACTTTTCATTGCACCTTCAAAGGTGAGCGACAAATTAACTACGAAAGAGCGTGAGAGCATCTTTCTTCAATAATTTAGGATATCAGGCAATGATGTCAGGTCCTGGCTGCTGATATGAGTCACCAGGCCGAATCTCTTTCTACTAATATGGGACTACACAAGATCATTTTATCATTATGTGTCGTGCGTGGGAACCGAACACAGGACCATTCAGAATGATCAGTCTAGAAAGTGATGTCAATTTCAGATCGAAGTTAGAACCAATATGAACTCGGCTTAACACCGAAGGTTTGCAAATGCGTAAATAGCACTATAAATAGCATAGCAAGTTCGAGAATGTTCTAAAGTTATTAGGTGACGTTTAAGTCTGTTCTTGGGTAACGATATACAATTAGGTGTAAGTGCTGACCCCAATGGCGTAATGGTCCTTTCAGTTCGAATTTTTTTGTCGAAAATATCTCTTGTTAGTTGAGGTTGCCTAGGCGCAGACCACCGATTTTTAGTTGGCCGATAGTTGAATCGGGCTGTTAATCAGTATGAAAGTGCTCACATTACACCGATTTGTTATCGGCTGATTCATCACACAAATTAGAATCAGCCAACTATTAATAAGTTGGTGGTAGGGCCTAGGCTTATTCGCCAAAGCTCATAGAGTTCATAAACGTCATGTTGTGTGACCCACCAGTCAATCGAACTTATATCTTTAAACCAGAAAAATCCTGACTGAGGCCCTGAAATCCGAGATATTTTGTTACTCTGGGATCTTACATACTTGTAATAGGGGTGATATTCCGACAAAAATATGTAGCCTAACATGCTCGTCTGTACAATTACATGCTCTCACTGCGGTCACGGTCCAAGCAGCCTGAAAGGTTGAAGGCTGAGCCATAAAGACCACCCATTAGACATAACCATGACCGGAACGGCAACAACGGAATCGAGACTGCCAATACATGTTCATTATGTTAATTTCTACTTTATGCCCCATGTGATAAGACCAAGGTTTTCCTCGTATCCTTTGAAAAACGACTGAAAGACTGAAATAATACATTTAAATATGACTCATCTGCATTGATAAAGAACAGGGTTTTGTATCTCATGCTGAAAGCGTTCATTATTTTCGACTGAAAATTGCTTGTAATTTAAAAACAACGCTCAAGTATGAGTTTACATTCAATGAACATTGGAATTTCAATCATTCACAAGCACAAACTTTGATTATAACAAAAAAGGAATGCCTGAGAATGAATCAAGCTGTGAACGTCGATTCGTTTCGGAAAATACATAAGAGAAAGAAAGAAGCCAGAAAGCCAGAGACCTGCTCCGCCAGACTCAATGTTACATATTTGAATTCTGAACATCATTTCAGAAAAATAAGAGCCACTTGTATGTGCTAGAACAGAAATTTGCCTGAGGTTTGAGCAGAAAGAGCTTGTTACTCAGAATGAGAGACAATTTAAGAAATAAGTTCTTGTAAGTGCTTCATTGTATCCAAGAATCATGAATGTAGAATCGTTGAACGTCTTTTTATGTGCTTAATTGTATCCAGAAGAATGTAGAATCGTCGAACGTCTTCCATACCGCGCGTGGAAGTCTCCGCCGGTTTCCACGTGCCAGCTCTCATGACGCCGGGTCCCGGGATCGTCCCGGGATCTCCCAACTCCGATGCAGACGGTTAATGGGCGCTTCCCCGCGACCTTGTCTCCCCCTCGGCAGCCGCTCTATGATATATGACAAACGTATTGGCAAATTGGCACGCCAGTTGCCAAGTCACATTGACGGGCTGGTTATTGGAATGTCACCCGCGGTTGGAGGTGACACCGTGACTAATGGTATTATTGTTAGTCAACTGCAGTCAGTTACTTTTTATTGATAAGGGTACCTAAGAAGTACTAATTGTGTTGCCAGAATTAGGACATTCTCCCTTAGAAAACTGTTCGCTCCGTTTCAGCCATATGAAATAGGACATCTCTTAGCTACGTATCTACATTTTTTGTACGTACCTACTTCTACTAACTACTCTCCGTTAAGGTATCGCGGGAAGATTAACTTGTTTTCGTAAAATTGCTAAGAGAATAAGTTCCTAACTTACATAGGTACAGTCAGCGTCAAATAGTTCGTGACACCCAAAGTTGCCAATAAGTTCGCAAGACGTCTTTATTACAATTGGAATAAGGTTGTGTTGTCAACTTTTTGGTCACTTTGGATGTCACGAACTATATGACGCTGACTGTACTTACTTATACCTACATACAGTGCCGTCATGTCCATTCTTCCGTGTACGAAGGTTTTCCTAAATTAAAAAATAATTTGACTCTTAAAACTATTCTAAATTACACGTAAATGTTGTGACCTCATTAGTGGAAAAAATGTTTACTCTGAAAATAGGCGGAAAATTGAGGAAATTTTATTTAAATTACCTGCTTTGTTTATCTTAAATGTAAAGTATGTAGGTAAGCGATGACTCATTTATTCCTATTGAATTTATTGCAATTATTAGTAAGAATAATTAATGAACAGGGAAAGGGAATCTACTTTCATCGCCTGATAAGCCTATCTATTCAGGTTAACTATAT